AATAAATAGGTAACGATGATATATTAAGATTTTTTGCATGTTTTTACTGCAATTAGAGAAAAATTCAGGAAAATTAATGAAACAAATTTAAACACGAGGAAAAATATTTTATTTTTGATGTCAATTTGAATCTTTTTGATTATACATTCTTTTAGGCTAAATAATGGAACAGTAACTTTTGCGATCCATTCTAACATATTTAGGAATTTTTTCTAGCTTGTCATGATTTATACATTTTCAAATTTTAACAAATGATTTTTAACCTATTTTTTGTTGTTAAAAAGACTTATTAATAGGTAAAGAGATTTGTTAATAAACAAAAAGGCGGTTATGGCTATGAAATTACTTCTTACAGAGAATTAATATTACATAGTTTGTATTTATTTTCTAGAGTTTATTTATTTGACATGAAACCTATAAGTTTTATAAAAACAATTTAATATTCCATTCTGCATTTCATAACGTTTTGAAAATCACCGTACGATAATTTTAAATGTTCCCCCATAAGTCATTTTTGCATCTTTCAATCTTTACAAAATTTGTATGCATTAAAACCCATCTGAAAAAAATGTTAAACAATTAAAAATGTCTGTTGAAACAATTTTGCACTAAAATCCGTACCTTTAAGAAAATAAAATCTATGACATGTTCCAAGAATTCGCTGCAAGAATATGGTCACTTAAACTTAATTGTTTTCCTAATAGAAACTTTTGAAAAACATCAGTCTAATTCATTGCACCCTGTTGTATAATAGTTTTTCATACTTTGCTGTATATATTTGGTAGTCCATTGGCAAATAATTACGCCATGTCTGCATTAAGATGAGGAAAAGCAAGGCTCAGCGATCTGTTACTTAAAAGTATGTAAGCATTTTTTTAATAAAAGTAACGATAAACAACACTTAATTTTTACTTTTGCAATCTTTAAAGAACAACATCCTATTCAGATACAAAATGAATCAAAATTTTCGTTACTCCATTAATTTATGTAAAATAGAACATTTTAAGTATCGTACTCATATTTTATGAGATATTAGAGTGACATTGTTTAAGTTCATAGTTCCCACCAAGCTCTGACGTAACGTAATTTGATCTTTACAGTGAATGCGTCAAAATTTCCCTACAAATTACGGTACCCTTACGAGGTAGAAAATAAGATTAATGTCATGAATAACTTACACAAACAAGCTCTATTAAAAAACCAATAATCTTAAATGTATACGTGATGTATCGAAAGGCTTCTGCGTGTGTACTTTAGATATTTTGATAAGGTTCTCATTTGACAATTACAAAAAGTCTTTGAAAAAGATGAAGTTGTTCAAATTTTTAATTTATTTCTGACTGTTATATTACTTATAACTCTCGTCGTGTAGCACGTGTGTGCCATTTTTGAAAGTATAGTCGTATTAATGCATATGAAACTTTAGTCGTATTAGTGCATATGCTCTAATAAAATTTACAAATATTCAAAAAAAAATTTATTAGAGCCAAGCAAACATTATTGCAAAATACGTTATTGAAAATTTACCAGTAACCTTTTGCTACAAATAAGTTCAAAAATGATAGAAAATGTTATAAATCACCCGGTCTCCGCACCACACTTTCTGTATTCTTATTAGAGTCTGTACTTTTAAAGTAAGTTCTAAAATCTCTATGAATATTAAATTATAGTAAAACGATCAAACAAGGTGTAGTACGATAGCACATTTATTATTTATTTATTTCATTGCTGAAAATAAAATCCAGTAGAAAACTTCCCTTTGAATATTGTGTTTGATTGTACTCAAATTGAAGTTTAGGACAGATTGGAATTTTAATTAGAAAATATTTCATCGATCATGTTTTATAAAATTGTAGGAAATAATTACAAAATTATAAAACCGAAAAATGAAGTTAAGGGTTTTCAATACATAAAGTTTAAGCATAATTTATTCAAAATGTAACAAACCAAAAATTTTGTGTTTCTAAGAAAATATTAGTGACATTCAATTGGATTCCTTAAAATTACAGAAGACATTTTAGAATAAAGTTTACTTGTATATAAAATAAATGCTCATTCAATTATTAATATAAAAAAATATTATTTTTCAAATAAAAATTATAATAAGTAAATTTCTTTTCAGGAACATTGAAAAAATAAATATGACTTGGTTAAAAGATATTTTAATCAAACACTTAATTTATTTGATTATTTTGTTTCCCTAAACCATAATTTAAAATCTTTAAGTTGTAACTTTTCCAGACTTACATATCATTTCTTAATAATTAAATAAAAGTTAAATGAGTTTCGCACTTAACTAAAAATTCCAGACTATACCTTAGGAGTTATGAAAGAAACATACAAAAACAGTGAATTAATAAATATTCAGAAACTCTATTACCTGAATTTAGAGCGACTTATTTATTGGCATGAATTTTAAAACATATATAATGCTTAAAGTTTTACATAAATATTGCCATTCTACTTTTTTAGATTAGAGATTATTTTATGCACGAAGAAAACTTTCTTCATAAGGTAGAAAGTTCATAAATAATTCACGTTGTTTCTTCAGTCTTCGAGTACGAGTGTACGATAAATTTATGCTTCCCTAGAGATTTGCAGTAGCTTGCTTACGATACTCATTAAGTTTAAGACTTTCTTTATGTAAGCATATTTCTTGTCAGTTTCATTCAGTTTTGACAAAAAAAAATATTCTCTTGATATTTATTTGAAACGTTTCGGCTTCACAAACTACTTTCTTCTTTTAAATATTGCTCTAAATTTTGAGAAATTGAGAAGAAAAACTTCAAAGACTTCTTAAAAAATATTTCATTAATGTCTTAAGTGGCAAGTAAAATATATTGAAGAAAGTTTATATTTTTTAGCAAAAAAATTATATTTTATAATTTTTAAGCATTTTTTGTACAAAAGAAAAACTATTTGTTAAAAATAAAAACATACATCTGTTTTTTTGAGAAAAAAAAAACTTACTTTAGTCTATACTAAAGCGAAAAAAGGTCTAGTCAAAATTATCTGAATATGGTGATTAGAATATTATCAATTAGAACACCAGAAAACTCGGAAATTTTACCGAAGCACTTTGTTAATTATCTTAGTAAATATAATAATAAAATATGATTTTATAATGAGGGGTAAATATTCGTAATTATCGTAAAGTTTGCTAATTTTATCATGATACTTTAGAGCATGTCATGAAACTATTTATTCGGTTTATTATATTTTTCGGTTGTTTTATTTCTTTCTAAATGTGTGGTAAGAAAAACGGTAATTTTGAAAACCAGTAATATATGATAATTGCTGGTACTTTGAATTAAAAAAAATTACCAAATGAATGGTTTAAATGCAGTATATTTTGGTTTTATTACGCAAATTATGATTTTCCTTAACATAAATGTCATTACCATGAAGTACTGTAATTTTTGCCAGAGTCTTTTTCTCCATAAAAAATAAGCAAAGCTCTTTTGGTTGTTTTACTGATCGTACTTATTAAACGGGTCCCAGTATACAGGTTCAGTTTTGATAAAATCAGTAAATGCCGTGATCACATGGAGAATTTTTAAAAAAAAAAAATTAAAATAGAATTTTATTTAGGAAAAAATTAATGAATAAAATTAATAAAAATAAATCTAAAATTTGCGCGTTTTATTAATTATTTTTCTGCAGCTTAAAATAGGCTTAGAATGGTTTTTTAGATTTTAGAAAGATTGTTTCAGGTAAAGTTCTTTTTTTAGAAGAAAAAAACTAGATTAAGAGCAAAATTTGCTATTATAAGTAGTTATTTTTTTAAATTTTAATTTAAATTCCTTAACCAAATATATTGTCATATACATCTTGTATTTACGCACATAAAAATTTTCGTTATTTCACAAATAATTAGAATTAATTAATTACTAATTATTAATGTGTTTTACAAAAATTGATTTAAAACAGTTTATTTTGTGCCTGTTTGGAAATTGTAAAACATGAAAATAAATAAAAAACAAAATTTTCAAACATCTCTTGGGCATATAGTTGGTGGTCTCAGCGTAACTTTACATCAGTTTTACGACTGGTTGAATTTCATTCACATAAGTGGAGAAACATGTCATAATTAGAAGGTAATATAATATGTAAAGGTAACCTGTGCAATATGTTATCTATGTGAAAAGATGATATTTGTTACTTGTTCATATTCTACAATGTTAAAAATTCCGGATCAAATAACAGTATAAATTACCGGTATTTTGGATACATCATCTGTTATATATATTTTCAACGTAAAATGCTATACCATAATTTTTACAGTAACATTTATTTGGTTAGAGTGATTCAGTAATTTTAAGATAATTATGACTGTAAAAATTACGGTATGTCAAGTTTTTTGTTACGTAATATGTTTCGGTATAAATGGATATTACGGTAAAAATTACCGACACCCTGAATTTACCACCTTTTTTTACTGTAATTTCAATCATACTTTTTTACAGTATAAAACAATTCGTTTCCGTTCCGGCCAATTCGAGATATATATATTTCAAAACAATTATGCACTGTTTTCTAACTTAGCTATTAAAATCTGGAATATTCGCTGCTCAATTCCAATTTTCTGCTCTGATGCATTTTTTAGCTAAATTTTCAGAAATCTTTTATAGTTCATGCATATTAAAACAGTTGATTGCATTATCTGTCAGTATTTTTTGGTTTGAGAAATGACTACAAATTAACTGGTAAATTTTTTTTGGTTAAAATAATATTTATTTTAAAAAAAAACAGAAAAAAAATAAAATTTAAGTTTAGTTTAATTAATTTTCAATCAAACTTTTATAGAAAAAATTTATTAGTAATAACAACAACATTAGTTTTTGCGTAATTCGCTAAAAACAGTAGTTTGTTCTGGAAATTCGATCTAAACTCTGTCATTTCCAATTATTAACTTCAATAACATCGACCTTATATTATTCTGTTAATCCTTTTAGATTCTTATCAGAAGATTTCAATTAATTTTAAGCAATCAATTGCAGCTCCTCTGTCAGTGTATGTGACGCCGCAACGACAAGTAGTGGACGTGGGCCGTTCAGCGACATTCAATTGCACCGTGTCCGGACGTCCGATAAGGTCTTTGAATTGGGTGAAAGATCAAAAGCCCATTGAAGATTACTATGGGGGTGGAAGATTCATGCTTTTAGCTCGAGATGTCCTCCACATTCCTCTCGTACAAAGGGAAGATAAAGGAATGTACCAATGTTTCGCCTTCAATGATTTTGAATCTGCTCAGAGTTCTGCTGAATTGAAACTTGGAGGTGTGTATTTTGAGTTAAATAAATAATATCTAATGAATGATAATTCAATAATAACCATATTTGTTCATAAATAACGGTTGAACTGAAAATAAAAGTTACGTTTAACAGTTATTGATAGTACTTAACAGTAATCCGTACCAACTATTAACTCTTTTTCAATAATATATTTATGAATTCTTTGATAATATTATCTGCTGTAAAAACATGTCTGTTTTAATAAGGATAATCCTACATAGTTGCTCATTCGAGTATTTATTTCATATTTTAACGCTTTCGTAGTCCAATTAGTTTTCTTCTGAATTTCCCTCGCTTTATTAACAATTAACAATAATATGTAAAGAACTATATTCTGTTTAGCCAAATTCAAGTTTTACATTTAAATTTTAAGGATAGGGAGTATACTTCTCAAGGAGTCTTTTACAGTTATAAAGGTAATTAAAATAATTAATATTCTTGCAATTAAAATATGAGATAGATCGCATCCACTCTCAGAAATAAAATTCTCACTTTTGATGGTTCACTAATTCTTGAGCTATATTTAGATAAGTTTGAGAATCATTTTGTCACGAAATCACGTGGCTTGTGATAAAACGCGTACTCTCAAATATATGAGAAAAATGCTTCCCTAACTTGGAAGCTAATCACAGTGCATTGTAGTGGTTTAATAACTAGAATAACTACCTAGAATGTAGAATAGACATTCGAAACAAGAATGACGACTTAGCCCGACTGAGCCTGTATGAAGGTAAAGGAGTTAGCCTCCTACCAAGAAGATCCCAGGTCCAAATCCAGCTTTGGGCATGGCTGTAAATTATCTCTCCTTTCCATCTGTCCTTCTTGGTTGTTGAGGTGACGTTGATTCACGTATATAGTGCCCACGAAAAAATATTAACAATGCCATCCATTTTTGCAAAATAAGATGCAATTACAAAAGATTTTTTCGACGAAATACATTTCCTTAAAGAATAACTTTAACAAAATGTTCGTTTGCAGAATATACCAGAAAATGATTTCGTCGAAAACGAAGAAAGTTTCGTGATATTTGAGTACTTATTTCTTACAAAGTTTCGTACACATGTAACGGATCTTCTTGTCTTGTCCCTTTGTGAAACATTTCCTACTACATCTATAGTTGGAAATTATCTTTCGGCATATAATTTTTCACACTGGCTTCAAGATGTCATTTTTCTTTCCGTTTCGAAGTACGAGAATGTCATATGAAAACATGTGTCATAACAGAATAGATCTCACACGATTCCTTCAAAATATTAAAACATGTGCTCTAATTCTATTTAATCGATTGCGCAATAGACTAATATCCCCATTTCTATCACCAATATATCATAATGGGTTTTTCTCTTTCCACAGGTGTATTCTTTAAAGGGGAAGTAATCTTCCTAAGGCCTATTAAGGGGTTAAAAGATCTTGACCGAAGCTTTCGGGATTCATTATATTTCTGATCATTCAAAAATTTATATGAGTACCGCATCCATGCAATTTTATCACATAAACATCACATGAATGTACCTGTGTAAATTGAAAAACTTGTGTTTATTTATTTATAGGCAATAAATAAATCTTTAATTGGATTACTTTATTTTAATAATAATGGAAAATTTTAGTAAATGCTAAAAATACTAAGGGCTAATAAAATATCTAAATATATTATTTATTTCTCAGAAATGTTACAATTACAAGAATGTTCAAGTGGATCGAATAAAATGATACATGATAAGATTAGATATCGTAGTAAGAAATGAATGAAACCTAGATAACTCGGAAGATAAGACGGAAATTATTTTCTGTCTTATTTTAACTTATCTACCTTCTTTGTTTCCTAGTTTCAATTATAGTTAAAAATTGTTTTAAATTGCCCAAAATGAGTCAATTCTTTTAATATTCTATTAGAATTTGAAGAAAGTTTTAGCTATTTAAACTTGTTCAACAAAACCAACAAGAGTTAAACCTCTTGCTTAAACTGTATTGGAACTTTTTTTCTATGAACTACTTATTTCAAAAAGAAAACCAGTATTTTGATGGAAAAAACTCTAAAAAAATGCAGTAGTTTCAAAAAAAGTAGATAGCTTAAAGTAGATAGATTTAAAAAAAGAAATGTACAGTTAATTATGGAATAAAACAATCTAAAAATTCAAATATTTCATTGCAAATGGAATTTTGTTTATGATATTCTATTGTTTGAAAGAAAAATAGGAAGCCTTTATATTTTAGTGTATTGAAAATAATATGTTTTACCAATAAAGATGATAATATTATATGGAAGAGCACCAACTGCACTATCGGTTGTGATAATATCTTGAAATCTCTGAAAATATCCTCAATTATCTTTATACTTATTCATTTCTTAGATAATGAGTCATAATCATATTTCGTAATTCATAACTTAATCGAATTTCCGCTGGTTCAGAAACATTGCTTTGTAATCCTGAAAAGTATTTCTGTAAAAAATATTTGCCTATATTCTTAAAACTGAACGTTACATCAATTTTTTAGATGTAGCACCTACGTTATTGTCAACATTTGCCAATGAAGCCATCCGTCCAGGTTCATCAGTATCTTTGCGTTGCACAGCTTCTGGGAATCCTTTACCTCAAGTAACAATACCCATCTAATCATTAAATTTTTTAAAGAAAAAAATATGCATTTTTTATTGTAAACACAAAATGTTAAGAAAATATGAAATTACCCATTAAAAACGTTTTTATTACTTCGTTGCTGATTGTTAATTTCATAAGAAAATAGCCGGTAAAATGCATATAATGCGAATAACAATATACTTACCACTTTCCGTCTAATTTATCTACTCCAAAATTAACTACTAGTTTTGTAAGAAAAAGGTTAAAAATTTTATATTTAATCATTACCTGCGGAAATAATACAAATGATCAATAAAAAAAGTTAACTTGAAAATTATCTGCATGTATTCAAAACTTGAGCTACTCATGGATGCTTATTAAAGATGCTATTATAAGTTTATTTTGTTAGTAATATAATTCAGGCAAACGTTTTTAAGATTTTTTTACCTATTGTTTATAATATTTGTTTTCAAAATCGCAATTATTTAGTTTTTCAGAAAATAAGTAGCAACTTCACTGTTTATTAAAGCCCATTAAATTTTAATTTTCTTTTGTCACTTAAGTTTCTCAATCATTTCAAGTTGTGCAGATGCATTATAACTATATTAGTACTTCTTTCTGCAAGAAAATTTGAACATGTGCTAATTTAATGAAATTATAAAATTTTTGGTGCATATAATTTTAAATATTTTTATTAACTATAGTACAATCAAATGTTATTATTTTTCTAAGCTATTGAAATAATTAAATTAAATTAAAATTATTAGTTAGTAAATAGTCAATTTACTTGGAATAAAATATAAATGTCTTTTAAAAATGCACTAGATTATAATTAACAAAAGATTATTTTTTTACTAGAATTTATCTTCGTTTATTTGAACGGCAAAAGTTATTTATTTATCTTATTTTACTATCCGTTTTCTAAATACCCATGTCATTATAAGTTCAAACTATAAGTTTGAGTTATATTTTAATGCATGAAATTATAAATAAATCAAAGACATTAGTTAATGATATTTATAATATCAATCACAGTGCCAGTTAACTTTAACAGGAATTTAGAAACACGACTATTGAACAAAAAGAACAGAAATTAGGTTATTTCGCAGTATATTTGAATTATTATTTGAAAATTTAAATAACTAATTAAAGCTGTTTTTTTTTCACTTAAGGTGACATGGTTTTTAGACGACATTAGCATACCGGATGCCGTTAGATTCCGAGTTGGAGACTACGTCACATCCGAAGGTCATGTGATGAGCTACGTCAACATTACAGACACCCATGTTGAAGACGGGGGAGAATATTCATGCTCTGCATCTAACACCGTTGCATCTGTCCGTCACACAGCAAGACTGGATATTTATGGTCCTCCTTTTGTTAGACCAATGCCAAATATCAGCGTTGTAGCTGGACATACCATTGTTGTCAAATGTCCGATATCTGGATTCCCGATAGAGAATGTGTTTTGGATGAAAGGTAAGTAGTGCTAACTGCAAGGAATGTGTCCGCTTATGTAAAATATAATGTTCAAAAGCTGTTAGATTTATTCATTTAACCTCTTAATATAGATGGTGAAAAGCTTCCAATGAATCACAGACAGAAAGTTGAGAAATTGGGAAGGCTTGTTATTCAAGACATACAACGATCTGCAGATGAAGGTTTCTACGCATGTGAGGCAATTGGATCAGATAATAAAAGAGCCGGAGGAAAAATGCATATGAGCGTGCTTGGTAAAAAAAAAACATTAAAGTGTTTTACTGTAATTGAATCATTTGTAATTGACATTTTGTAATACACCAGGCTAATTGGAAAATCTTTTTTATCAGACCAATTGCAATGAATCAATATTATTTTAGGAAGATAGGAAAATATGCGAAGATTTCTTTCTTTCATGTTTAATGTGCTTAGATTTATTGCAATAAACCTTTTGTGATACTATTGACAATAAGCTTTCATGGAACAATCAATTAAACAATGAAGGTAGTTTTTTTTAAATCAAGAGAAGGCAGGTTTTGGACTTACCTAAGGCCAACATTGGGAGACAATTTAAGTTTGATGATAAATTTATGTCCTTTCAAAATGACTGACTTTTTAATTGATAAATATTGCTTAAAATTCAACGTTTAAAGGCTTTTAAAGATTTTTCTCGTTTTTTTATTAATGTAATGAAAATATCACAATATATTGAACTATTTTTATAGAGATAATTTTTTTGCAGGACTAGTAAAGATGAAATTCAATATCTTAACAAATATAAACAAAATTAAACTCAATTGTCGTAAACAAATTTCTTTTAATCAATTTTTGTCCCCATAAATTGCCTTCTGAAAATTTTTAATAGTTATTCCCAAGAGGATTCTTTAGTATGTCTTAGTTTAGTGTAATTTAGTTTAGTATAAAAAAAAACACATAACTTAGGTAGTTTTTTGTGATTACACAGAAATACTAATAAGTTTATATAAGTTGTTATAAGTTATCCAAACATAAATTCAAATCTTAATTGAAATAAATAAAACAGGAGGTAACCAAAATAAACATAACTACATTGATTCAAATTCAAATTGGAACAGCGCACAAGGCAGCTAAAACCAAATTCAAATCTTATAAACAAGTAATAATATAAATTTACTCAAAAAAAATATATATAAATATAATTAAAAGAAAATTAAATAAAGTTGTGTGTTTACAGAGCAGCACTTCATCAGGGGACACACTGTCTGTAAACACACAGGAGCCTTTCTGTTGTTAGTGGCAAAGCCAAAACTAACAGTGCCCCGAGGCCCCTAATGAAAATTCAAGCATAAAGAATAATAATAATAATAATTACNAGTTATTATAAGTTATTTATATATTTTTATGATATTACCTAATATACTGTTCCTCTGAATCCGTATTCTACTAACTATTCGTAAAAAACAAGTGTTTTGAGTATTGTTATAGTTATCAAGGATTATCATAGCCTTTTTCTTATGTATAAATATAATAATAATAATAATAATAAAATATATGCATAAAATCGTTTGATGCATAAAATTTAATTTATTTAAAAGCGATGCAATTCGAGGCTTTATATTTTTGTCAATTCAAAAAATTCTTTAAATCTATGTAAGAAAATGTTTCTTAACTTTCAATAACGGTTATTCATTACCTTATTCAAAAAAGCTTAGAAAGAAAGTTTAGAAAGATAATTATGGGGAGTAATGATTATGAATAGTGATGAAATGAATAATAATCATGGATAATATTTAAATTTAATCTATGAAGAAAGTCATTCGACTAAATTTTAAAAAAAATTTACATTTTACAGCATTTCATTGAATTCTAATTGAAGTTTTACGATACAAAAGATCGATGCGAGAAAATTGGAATGGAAAAAGAAATATATCATAATATCATAATTTTAAAATAATCTCAAAAATAAGTCTCTAATTTAAAAACTACTCTTTCTTAGAAGCAAGAAAATCCTTTATAATTTATATTTTATCATTTAAAAGTAATAAATGTATCAGTGCTACACCGCTAGAAGTTTTGGTCATGTTTTTGAACCATAATATCAATCAAATATGATGTAACCTTAACTTGCTTAGTTGAACCTTATCATCATACTTCTTAAACTCGATTTCACGTTACATTGGTTTGCCCTGAACAGAAACATGATTTTTATTGCCCTTACATTATAGATACAGTGAACTCAAACCGTACATTTGTGAAAATAATTACATTTAGTTCAAAACTAAAACAATTTTTCTGAAAATGTAATGATTTTGGTCAAACTATCTTCAAATAGCCAAAACTTAAATATAGATCAGCAAAACATTTCCCACGGTTCAATTGCTGATAGAATTAAAAGAAAGTACACGATGAAAGTAAATGCACGATCAAAAATTCAAATATTAAACTAATCATTCTAATACAAATATACTTTTTATTCTCTTGCATTACTTTATTTTGTCATTATTGAGTAAGTTGCAATCTAAGTATAAAGTGTAAATACAAAAAGGCAACTATGGAATTGATAAAATATAGAATAACAGAAATTATGCACTGTTAGAAACTTCTCGGCTAAAATAGTCAAATCGCAATTTAGTTAATTGTAAATTTTACCATATTCAGCCCAAACCGGCCAAATAAATAAAAAAGGAGTATATTCAAATTGTTAAGTATAAGATAAAATGCTTATTGAGTGTTTTCACCTAAAATGGTTTAACAACCAGAATTCTATCTGAGTCTCCTAGACTCACCTTATAAAACCATTTGTTCCATGCAATACATACTGTGGATAAGAGAGCTAAACAGTTTATCTCATGACCGACTGAACAGAGGTTCAAACCCCAGCGTTGATACCTCAGTATTTTCTACCATTCCTTCAATGCATGAAAGGTTTCTAGTATCCTACACTCTTAAATTGGTGAGCTTAGACTATTAGAATGCGAAACTTTCATTCACTCATAAATGATGCAGCACCCTCAGCTCTCCAACGTCCGTTTTATTTTTACGGTTTAGATACTATACTAGTTTTGAATGGTTACAAGACCGTATAGCTTTGCATTCACGGATTTTAAACTATACCAATTGAAAAACGGTCTCAAAACCGTAATGGTACGGATATGTTCCTAACCTTAAACTTTATGGTAAATCGGATGGACAGACTGTTTTTTGCTATTTTGCAGTAAATTCAGAATGACAATTTAAACAGTGTGGTAGGAATTCATCTTATCTCTTTCAAAGGTAAAATGCTTTTTTAGTTAATATAAAGTAAATATAATAGAATCGCTATAATTTTTTTAATTTATAAAAGCAACTTAAAATGTTGAATTACTTGTATAGATTATTTCCTTTTCTCTATTGAATAGAGAACCAGAAAAACAAAGACAAAATTTATTTGAAATTTTAGATTCGCATTTAATCCTTTTAACATACATTTATTGATGTTTGAAGCGAAAATTCCCTAATACAATGCAAATGGGAAATTTCCATTAAAATATTCCGCTTTTAAGCATTTCTCTGTATGTTTAGTTCCCTATCGATCTTTAAATAAATAACTATTTACCTTGCGAAATATTGATTCGAACTAATAAATTAATGAGAAATAGAGAATCAAATTTAATAAATTCTATACAGACGAGGACATGTCGCATGCATTAAACTGGGATAATATATTGAGATTAACAATTTAAGGAGAATTTATTCATCATGATAGATAAACAAATTTTACAATGTGTTTTAATTTTAAAAACTATATTTTGTAGTGCATATTAAATATCTTTTGATTTCGATCAAATGAGTTTTTTTTACTTATAATTTTCAGCGCTTTATATCAAAGGAGAGATAAAACAAGTTGTTTTAATATTCTGTTTAACTAAATAATCCGCCATTATTTTCAGCATTAAAATTTAAATAATGCAAGCATTTAATTGATTTATTTTAGTTCTTGTTTGAAATATAAGTGAATACATACTTTACATTAATGAGTATTTTATCAAATCCATTTCTGAAAAGTGATACTTATTTGCTTATTATGATTATCATTTTATGTAACATTCTTCAAGTTATAATTTCCTTTCTGAATATTTTAAACAAACTTGATTCGTAAATCAATCCTTCATTTGAATCTTTAATTTAAAATATCTTTCGTTAAATGGAAAATTTTATAATTTAATAACTATTTAGTAAATAATATAAAAATTATTTTCGATAGATTATTTTTCTATCTAATGTCTTTTAGCTTGACATATTTTCATCAACATTTTTCCAACTTTTTAAGCCAGTCAAATGTAAGATTTTGATGATCCTCAAACATAGTAGTCTGTTTGAGCGTGTAATTCGTCTTCCACCATTCAAAATGACATCTAGTCAAAATAAGACAAATCCGGTGAATACAGTGGCTTCTAATTTCCCAGTCGAAACTTTGCAGGCTTGTGCTCTAGCGCTGTCTTCATTGCAGAGCATTCCTTTTCTTTGTCATATTTTTTTTCTCTCATTAGGTGAAATAATAACTCATTATGATGTGTTTTTTCCTAAGACACTTAATCAAGCAAAATACGCCAACTATTTAACTTTGCGTATTAAGTCAATAAGGTGCGCCCTTCCCTTGGCAAGAGAGCATCACAAGGGTGAAGGTATGTCTTTGCTGAGGACATCTAAGTCAGATGGCAGCACCACTCATTCGAGAGGATACTTGCATGTTTCCAACATAGATCTTAAGGGGAATAACTTTTTAAAAAAATCCATGTACTCGTGGTACTGTTCAGCCATCGATCACAGAACTCTCGATTCCACATGTCTTACTGAATTTCGCATGTACTGATAAGCCTTAACGGAGAGGAGGATCGAACCCTGACTTCTCCAGACATTATTCAGATTCTCTAACCACCGGGCTACTGCAGTCCACGGCGTTTGATATTTATAATTAATCATCTGTCTATTTTCAAATTAATCGGCGTTGATTGCTCTTCATACATCCCCCCCCCAGAAAAAAAACTGTCGAAGTCGATTTCGCAGCCTTTGGAGCTAGATAATCTTTAAAAAAATACATTTTAGAGTGCTACTGCTCCCTTTGCTTCTATCCGTTTTGTTTGTTATTGGTAAGTAAGTTCGCTGTTTCCTAAAGACTTACTGAATAAAATAGAATTCACTCTCCGGCTGTTAGTCGTAAATTTTATTTCAATTCCTTGTGGTTTGTTAATACTTCAAATAAATGAAATATCACATTCAAGATGCCACCCTCCCTCTTAAGTAGCCAAGGAGCCTCAAATTTGGGAGAGTGTTCAAGGTATTTACCAATGTCAGCTAGTATGCTTAAAAACCAATCCCTTAAATATCTTTTCAACCATGATAGTCATATTCATATTCAATTAAAACTTTTTAAAGAGGAAAAACATTGACAGTTTCCATTTATTCTAATTACAGACAAAAAGTATTAAGTAAATATTGATAATAAAGTATTAAAAATACCCTCAAAAGCTTCACTAATGACCATAAGTGCTGCTATAATTTTGTTTAAAAGAAACATTTTTACAGTGTTAAAGATTATACCATACAACCGTGCCGAAACATTTTACATTAATTGGCATAAAAAGTTTAATAAAGAATGTTTTAAAAAATTCTCAAATTATTTATTAGAAGTTAAATGAAAAGAATTCACAAAAATTATAACTTTAATAATAATTAACAAAATACGAATGAAACGGACTTGGTACTGTTCAAAATTAGTTTAAGGTTGTTGCTATATCTAATTACAACAAACTTTTCTGAGTAGTGTGTTTGCTATGCCATTATATATATATATATATATATTCCTGTTCTTGAAAGATTATAATTTTAATATTAATTAGAAAAATATTTCTTACATTTCAGCCGTAACAAGGGTAATACACACAATGAAAAGTGAAAATACGCAAGTTTCTTTTACCCTGACCAAAAATTTCTTGGAGACTTCCTGAATTGACCATTAATTAGCCAAAATGTAATTGAGTAGAGAACTGTTCAGTAAAGTCCAAAATTCTTATTTACTTCAGGGTTTTATCAAGCAACTTCAAATGATTGCAAATGAACTAGTCTTTCATGATCTTAGGAACATCTAAAACATATAAAAAAGGATTTTTTAGGGAAAAAACAGAATCAGAGTAAAATACATATTTTAATTAGAAGGAAATCACAGCACTGAAATTATTATATCTAAAAAAATTTCAAATATGCTGCTTAAAAACAATAACAATAATAATTCAATCAAGTATTTATAGATAAAAAGAAGCTTATGTTTAACACTCATTTTAAACAAAAAAATTTTAAAAGTAAATAAAAGCATAGCTATTTTTATATTAATTCTTTTTACAACGTACTTTTCAGTTGCTCCAACAATCGAGAATGCAATGCTTCCAGAAGTACTGTATGCTAAAGAGAGTACGAAAACTAAAGTTATGTGCAGTGTCAGCCAAGGTGATCCTCCTATTCAAATAATGTGGCGCAAAAACGGACATGCTGTAACTATAGATAAAGACGTAACGGTACAAAATCTTGAAGATTCTTCTATTTTAATGTTCAGAAGAATTTCTTCCAAACATTCTGGAAACTATACCTGTTTTGCTTCAAATATGGCTGCATCTGTGAACAGAACCACCCAAATAATAGTTAATGGTAAGATGAATGATCAAAATATCTATTTCCATGAGGCAATTTTATTATTTTACTAAAATAATACATAATAATCAGTAAATTTAATTTAGCATTTTTATTAAAAAAATTTTTTTTTTCTTATTTACTTACTTTTTACGAGATGATTTATATGAGCTTATTATAGTGGGTGGCTACTTTATTATGATCTCCGAAGAAGTTTTCTTAGTATTGTCACAAGGGGGGTAAATTTTTTTACATGCTTTAGGAAAATCATTCTGTGTGTAATCTAATAAAGCAATCATGGCTAAATATGTTTTAATAAATAAGTGAGTCCTGTTGTTTTACCAATTGAGGCCAAAGGCGACGGTTACTTTAATTAACGTAATTTTTTACCATTCTGCTTAGGAAGTTATGGTTATCAGAACATGATGAAGACCTCCCCTTACATTGGCCTTCACAATACACAGATATTAATCCCATTGAGCATTTAAAATGTAAAGTTCACAGAAATATCCCTAATATAGGTTTATGACCACCGATAGAATCACGCTTTTAAATAATGCTTTTTTTCTGAACCTATCAATATCTCGTAGTGTCCATGCCAAGAACAACAATGTCTATATATTAAATACAAAAAGGTGGCCACATGACATAATGAGATGATGATCATAATAGGGTGGTAGATCAATGCATAACTAATAATAATGTTATACTAGCATAGTATACTAGTATAACATTATTAATAATAATAATGAAGTAATAAATAATACATTATAGTCATAATGAAAAACAATATACTGGTAATAATAAAGTTAAATTTATTTCAAAGTGCCTCCACGCTGGAAAGTCGAACCTACAAACAGTTTTGCTGTGGTTGGAAAAACTGTTGTAATGCACTGCAGTTCTGATGGCTACCCAAGTCCTAGAATTTATTGGAAAAAAGCAGCAGGTAAAAAACTTGTTTTTGATGAAAAGCCTTTGAATGAAATTTCTTCATTAAAAATATTTTTTTAGGTTAAAATTTCATTTTTATGACAGGTTGGCATTAAAAATGAGTGCGAAAATAAGCTTAACATGAAGAGAAAAATAATTTTATATAGTATCATGTATATACATATAGTAGCAAATGCAATAAATTTTTAAATTCTCGAAGGACATTGTTTATGGTATTTACTAAAGCCTCACTATGTAAGTTTTTTTTTAAATTTTCCTTTACTGTGCAATTGTTTTGATTGCTTGATCTGTTGGAAGCTGCTTTTTCATTACTTCCTTATACTACATGTAATTCGGAAAGAGAAAGTCTTTAATTTTAATAAATCTTCTGATTTTAATTTATTTCTCAACTTCTTAGAATAATAAAATTTAAAATGTGGGAATTATAAATGTATGCAAATGTAGACACAAAATACTTTTGTTTAATTTCATTCCTAAATATCTAGTTAATTAATCATGTAATTTTGTAGAAAAATTAATCAAAATATTTTGCAATCATTTGACAATTATAATATTATAAGCATTGATAAATCATGTATGCTAGTCAATTCTCCTCTTTGAATTAACTAATGATCCCACTCTGTTCAATGACCTATTCCATTTCTAAACAGTTTTTATACTCGGTCGTAGTTAGCGTATTGCGAGCGTTTATTTTACAAGGAATTATGACGTTTAATTTTAGCAAATATTTTCTAGACTATGATAGCTTAGTGAGATCATTCTTTTGGAAAAAGGACTTTTACTAAACATGTTGAAGTATTTATTATTTTAAACGTATGTCAATATATATGTAATGAATTTAATCTGGGTAATTTTAATAATCAACATAACAAATAGAAGAAATAACATACCAAGGCAATAAAAAATATCCTCAACTGTTATATAATATAGTAAACTCTTAAAAAAAAATCTAAAATTTGAGTTTATTTTCAATATCATTTATATTTGATTATAAGGAATGCTATTATGCTTCATATTAACCAGTAAACTTAGCATTTAATAAGCTTATCAGCTGTTTTCCATTAAAAAAAAAAGAGTAATTATTGTTATTCTAACCATTTCTTGAGAATAATAAATTTTTTTTAGTTACAGTAAATAAGGTATTGTTATGAAAAATTGCTAGTTGAATTACTGAATTAGATGAATTTTTTCATAATATCTATTCGTTATAAAGCTATAAAATTAATCAGCTCAATAAAATTAACTAAATTGCTTAGCATTTGTGTATAATAACAATTTATAGTTCATTCTAACTAATTATTAATATAAAAACTAACGCACACATAAATTACGGGTAGAAAAACAAAGAAGTTCTTTTCAAAATCGCATTAATCGAAGGGAAAAAATGAGGTTGAGCTTAGCAAAGAGCCGCAAAAACATTTATTAAAGGCACAAACATATCTATTATTCATTATCCAATTCTAACCATAGCTTCAATTATAAATGAGAATCCTTTCCCTCACGGCTTTTTCAGGCAACCTTGCTACAGACTTTCGAGATGTTTTGTCTAGCTACAGGAGACAGGTGTTCGACAATGGGTCACTCGCTCTACAAGAAGTGACAGAAGCGGACGGAGGTCATTACTTATGCCAAGCGACTAATGGAATTGGAGCAGGCCTCAGTAAAGTCATCCTCCTCACCATCCACAGTACGTATCTTCCATAAGTAATGACTTAACCAATCCTTTCTCCCACTGGTCCCGTGAGTACCATTTTGAATCTCTGGTGGTCCGAAAGATTTAGATGGATGGTTTCTCCATAGGCTTTACGTAAACAGATCTCTGATGGACTAAGTAAAAGGAAAGCATGTTTCTAAGGAAAAGTATCACTCCGGCATTTTGTTCCATAGATGAAAATGTTACGGATTATTAAAATAAAATTTTGATAGTAACAATTCGAGGACATGGTCAAGGTAGTTTTATTTTAGATTTCATTAAAAATGAAAATTTTAATGCTATTTCAATGTTCAAATTTATCGTAAAAAGAGTTTAGTGTGAATTGCCCGTTTTTTGAGAACCCTTGGACCCTTGGAAAATGACCGTTTACATAATATCAAATTATTCATAATAATACAAATAAATAGTTACACTGTGTAATCACTCTGAATCACTGGTTTTAATTGATTAATAGAGAAGTTTGGTAAAACAGCAAAATAAAACAAAAGAAGTTAAACGCAAAGTTAAATTTTCTTATAAAAAGTTTAAAATAACAATTAAAATAGGAACATTCAACTAAAGTCCAGCTATGCGATTAATAAAAGTTGTATAATAAAAGATAATTTAACATCTTGACTTCCATGTTCTTAAAGTTGATGTTTCCAAATATGTTTAATTTACCCAACATTTGAAAGACTTCATTAGGTAGAAATTTTTAAATGCTCCAGCTACTAATGCCGGATTAATCATTAATTCACTTAAACGGAGGAAAATAATTGTGATATTCCCTTAAAATTGCTTGTAGTAATATGTATTCCGAAGGAGGGGGATTTTTTTGTTACATTCATACAAGTACATGATCTTTCCTAATTTGTGTGAAGGGACTATAAATCTGAAATTAGATTAGTTCCGAAAGCTACAGGTTTTATCCCAAATGATACTCTTAATTTAGTTCATTTTTTGTCTGAATGTTCAGTAACAGTAAATAATACTTAAGACAAAAAATATATGGTCTCAAAGAAATCGCATCGTAATCTGAAATGTATTATTGTCTTCCTCTTACAATTCCGTGTGAAGTAGAGAAGTGGAAACACTTGGTATTCACTTAAGTGAATTTGAAAAAAAAAAAAAGTTTTCAGGAGAACGTTATAAAATTGCATAAAAACTGTATCCTGTAGCGAGCAGAAATCTGTCACTCAACAGAAAACAAAAATTGCTCCTCAGTGTTATTATAGAATGATGTTGTTGTCGGGGTGCGTTTCATTTTGTTTTAACTAGCGTATTAGACATATCTATTTTAATGTTGTTGCAGGCCATTTAGGCACTAGGGGGTGATTGTCTTTGTTTTCCTGTGACCCCATCTATGGCTAAGAATTCAACTTCTGCCACATACTTATGTCAAAGCCCGTTTATAGGCAGATCCATTTATGCATCCATTCATTTCTCCATACATCGTAATTTTGGCTTGAACCAGAGAGCGATCAAACTCCAATTCAATAACCTCAGAGATATGATTACATATGGGAATATGGAGGACTTTGTGAGCAGACAGATTTAACATGCACTTGTCACCATTTATTACGGGGGTCTTCAGTCGGGGAGGGGAGAATAGAACTCACTACCTCTTAGTTATGGGCCCAACGTCCTACCAAACAGGCTATCCAGGTCATATTATAGAACGATATGAATCATTTAAGATCATTAGGATGTAAAAATTGTGAGCATTATTTTTATGCATTATTTTATTTTCTCATAATTTACATAACTGTTTTACATTCTTATCCAATTGCATAATTATTTTTATACAATAAAACACGTATTTTGAAAGAACTTTACAACAATGAAATTTCAAAATGTTTTAAGCACATCGTTCATAGAAACTAAGATCAAAGGAAACAAGCATGCTACCACTGGACTTTTTTTCTTTAAAAATTTGACGTACTTTTGATATCTTTTTCTTTTATGGTATTCAAATTGAAAAATAATTCATTGTTTTAGAAAAAAAAAATAATTTTGTTCCGCCAACTTCTATGATTTTGTTTATAAAGCGTCAGTTAGAAATCAAATGAAACGTTAGTTCACACTTAAGTCTGATTATTTTTCACTTAAAGTAAAAATTTAATATAATACGCAGCACTTAAATTACATTTCACTGTCACTAGGAAATCTCGAATTTTTATAAAATGAAAACAAAAAGTTTATCTGTAGAATTATGAAAAGGAAACAAGTTTTTGAGTTTCATGGAGCGTTTAATTTAGAGGAGTTCTTAAAATAATCCTTTCATTTTTAAAGTAAGAAAAATAAAATCACTCTAAAGCAAAAATCCTAAATGCTTACTACTTTCATATTTAATTGCTAAGACATGGAAAAATAAAAGGGCATTTCTAGAAGAAAATACCATTTAATTTCGCATTTCTGGAATCTTTTTCTGCATAGATTCTGCATTCAAAGGATGCTAGATTCTTAGTTAGTTTTAGAAGTAAAGTGTAATTTTTTTCGCATTTTTTATGCTTCGATATTTTATTTTTCTTCTTCTCACTTTTATATCCTGAACCTTTCGAATTTTTTATTTATAATTTTCTTAGTCACGCAATTAATTTAATATACATTTTTTAATAAATTAACTACTGTGAATTTTTAGTGATAAAATACATATTGTAAAAAATTATTTTTAATATTAAATTGATTAATTTATAATCCTTATCTTATGAAAAATTATTATTTAATAGTTATTACACCTATACAGTATTTGTAAAAAAAATAATATTTACTGAAAAATATATGCATAACCCTTGAATTAAGCATCTGTTGTTGTTGTTGTCGTCAGCCATAAGACAGAGGGGATGATTTTGTTCTTGCTTTCCAATGGCGCCATCTATGGGCAAGATGGATCAAAAAATATGCTTAAAGTAGTTAGCTCATCACCTGCTCTCACTTAGCTCACGACTGCATCATTTTAGTTTGTTTATGACAAACATAATGTTACAAAAAATATTCACATATGGGGGATCACAAAACTTTTCATTGCACTCACACACATTTAGCTTACAATTTTATTAGGTGAAAACAATGCAACACCACACTCAAATTTGTTATCGTAATTTTTTTACTCAAATTTTGGTTACTATTTAGCTTAAAAATTTCAAATATGCATTTTGTATTCATTATTTTAATAGCGCACAATATTTGTACATAGTTTTACAGAAAATTTGTTAAATAAGTAAATATAATTTCCTGAAAAACAAAGTTAAGATATTTACCGCTTAGTAATTTTAAAATGATAGCTAAAACATTTTATCATAAAATGTTAAATGATATAGTAATAACAAACAGTTACTTGTAATGCAGCAAAGAAACAATATTTTTCTTTTCAAGCCTTTAATTTAAGTAATAATCAAATTAAAGACGTAACATAAAAAAATAGTATTAAGATAAGAAGATTCGCAAATGTTATACTACCGAAACACTAGTTCAAAAAAAGAGAAAGATTTAGCATTTTTGCTGAAAATCTCCAAACCTTCTTTAGACAAGCATAGTTCTCATTTTTAAGCAAAAGAGCAAGGAAAAAAATAAAAGTGAAGAAAATTTACAATTAGTTTCCTAGAATTTTCAATTTTATGCTATCGCAATAATCAATTAGTTACTTCAGAAATATTAATTAATGAACCACAGTTGAAAACAAACGATAAGTAGCAAAACGTTTCTGTTTGCATTAAAATTAAAATCTATGAGTTTTGGATTTTATGTTTCTAAATTAAAATAGCGAATCATTTTTATTATAAATAATATTAATTTTCAAAAAAACTAACAAAATAATGAAATTGCTACAGTTCGATTAGGTGAATGATTAAAAATAATAATCTACATTCTCAACTGTAATCTTAAACAATATTGAAAATTAATAATTTAAAACCACTTCTTCAATTATTTTCTACATCCCTAAAATAACAGGCAAAAACTGTTTAACTTCCTCTCATTAAACTATAAAGTCTAATTACTACTTTAGTCAAAGTATTTAAAGTTTTTTTCCCGATATTTTACATTACATATTTATAAAACAAACTGTAAATTACTAAATACTTCGGTGAAATGTATATTTGTAAAATAATTCCATTCCAATTTAAAATGAAACCTGAGTATTCAGTATTTGCTTATTAAAACAGAATTTACTTAAAAAAGACTAAAATCCTAATTAGTTGACAAATTCGTTAATTTTGTTTTAAATAAACGTTTATATTCTTCAAAAGATTCTGAATTTGAAATATTTTAAGTTTCAGACAATATGCAACAATACTAATGAAATGTAAGCAACTTAAATTTTTCTTCTTATTGCTTAAACAATCAATATTAATTTATTAAGATTATTTAATATTTGACATTTTGCAAATTTAATCATCTGAAATAGGCTATAGGTAGAGATTTAAATTAGCTTATTAATTATAATTAATTAGAAGGCACCCACATTTTTACGAAATTCTGTCAAGTTCATTTTTTTTACATTGAAACTTAGTAATTTTAAAGTCTAACTAAAAGGAATTTAACAATCCATCTGTAATACATGAGATTTAAATATGTGTTGGCTGTACTACAAAGAATTTCTAATCTTACGGAAATTTTCGCGTTATAGTTTTACATACAATTAGCCTCTTTAAAAGTTTTAGCAACCAATAGACCGAAAATTTAATTTCTGCAGTGGTTACACACAGCGTGGTGGCCAACTTTCACGATTTTTTCGTATTTCTCACAAAAATTGTTCCATTTTTAAGATTTTACGAAAATGTTTTATAGATTTTTTTTTTTGAAAAATGAGAGATTCTGGTTTATTTTTTTCCTATTCAGGGCAATTTAGGTAAAATTTAACTACCAGTAGTAAAAAGAAACATGTTTTATCACCAAGATTTTATTTTGTTTTTCGGTGTGTTAATTTCTAAATTGGAGTATTTAGACACTACTGAAGTAAATATTTTTATGTTTTATTTGGATTTGATAAATGCCTTTTTTTTCTTGGGTATTGGCAGGTATGACAATGAATCCACACATTGTCCACACTCAGTGAATAAAAATACACTGAGCAAATTTTGAAACGAAAACAAACCCTATATCAACTTTGATTCTGATGATTGATGATTCTGAAAAAATAACCAACAAAAACGGGTAATCGGTCAGCGTCTGCAGAATTAGAGACGCAACATGCAATAGAGATTCGGTCTCGCATTCTTTATTATGAAAAAACGCTCAGAAATTTTTAAATTGAGAGAAAGTAATGTATAAAATTCGATGTTTTCAAAGTTGAATAAATCAGTTAAAAAAGTACTCTTATGTATTACAAACCATTTTCAATACTCATTTCAGTTCTGCCAAAAGCCTACTCTGAATTTAAGCTCCAATGTAGATGGACTTTATATTCACGCAATATATTTTGCTTCAATTTAAACACATAAGCAAAAAAACACACGGTAGCTTTTTTGCAGTTTGACAAAATCACCACTAAAAGAGTTAATCGCTATATTTCTTTCCAAGTTAAAAACTCATAATATAAGGTCTAAGTTTTTAATGATTCATTGTAAAATGAGTCATAACTTTTTACGATAGAGAAAAAAAAACTATTTAAAGAACCAAATGGATTGCTCAGCTCTGAGTCACCAAAAATTTGCATGAGATCACAAATTTAAGCATGAATACATTTCCACAACCAATTAAAACAATATAGTTCAATTAATTTAAAAATTGTAGCAAAGAGAACAATATAATTCCTATATAAATTCTAATAAAATATATACGAGAAATAGTTAATAAAATAAAAAGGTAATCGTAAAAATTTTGTTAACATTTTGCCATATCGAAGACACTATAAGCTATAAAGACATAAGCTATATTATAAAACAGTTCATAAACTTTTATATATTTTTTTATTTTTATTTAAACGACTTAAAACTCCTCATGCACCACAAAGTATAGCATGAGGCTTACAGTTGTAAGTAAAAAACAAAAGGAGAAAAAATTTACAAATTTACATTAACTATTATATTGAAAACTTTTATATTGAAACAACAAACTTTTATATTGAAAAAAAAATTAAAAAAACCGAAATTTTGAAACTCATTAGTATCTATATCAACGAAAAGGGTTAGGAAAGTCTTCTTGATTGTTTAACTTGACGAATTATAGAGCAACCTTAAAATATTTTTTACCTTTACAGCTCCATCGAAATTCGAAACTAAACTTGTGAGCCATAACAGTGACAAAAGGAAATGTTGCGGATTTGCAGTGTGAAGCGGAAGTGTGAAGCGGTAGTGTAAAGCCAATGCAATTAGATTGGAAGACAGATAATGAATGGAAAATCGTACTATTGCTTACAAGATTAAAGGCATTATAATGTATAAAGACTTTGCTTCAAGAGCTATATTATAAAATGATTCTTAAAATTTTACACTGAAGGAAAAACGATTTTCAGAACGGAAATGATTTTCAGACAAAAATTTTAAGCGTGAATGCATTTGCACAACAAATTAAAACAATATAATTAAAATTGTAGCGAAGAAAACTATGCTGCTTTCTTAATAAGAGGCTCAGAAAAAAATATTAAATAGTTAAATGCACAAAGAGTTAATCTTAAAAATATAGTTAATCGTTTGCCTAATTAAAGACACTGTACCCTACTGTTTAAAAGCTGTATTGTAAAATAGTTCATAAACTTTTACACTGGAAAAAAAAGAACAATTTAAAGAAGTTTGAAATTCATTAATTTCTACATCAAAGAAATGATTTAAGAAATTCCTCTTGATTGTTTAACTTTAAGAATTGTTGTGTAACTTTAAAGCATTCTTTACTTTTACAGCTCCGCCGAAATTCGAAACTAAATTTGTGAGCCATACAGTAACAAAAGGAAAAGATGCGGATTTGAAGTGTGAAGCGGAAGGGGAATTGCCGATGCGATTTGATTGGGAGAAAGATAAACAAAGCTTGGAACCACAAAATATCAAAAGGTAAACGAAAACTCTCCTTTCACTCCCTTCTTCAATGAACATTTCGATTGTTAAATAAATATAGAATCTTAAATTATTTCTCTATGAAATATTGCTTTTTGAACAGTTTATGCTTAGACTCTTTTAGAGAGAATTCAAAATATAATAGATTCTCTTTCGAATGACTGAATTTTTAAAAAGCATCGGTAACTAAGTACGAAAGAACTTAAAAACTGAACTTAATTAAAAAAAATTATTTTTAGAGCATAAAGATAGTTTTATGTGTTATACCTAAAATATAGTTTAAAATACGATTTGTTTAAAAATCAGTTTTTTTTAATTACAGTACAGTTGAAAAAATAATTTATTTAAAATGGCACTTGAATATACAATGTATCTTTAAGAAAGTTTCCAACAAAATTTATTTGAAGTACGATTTTTTGTTAAATATTAGTAATATTTGAAAAAGGGGAAAGTAGAAATTTTGATATTTATTTCGTAAAAACAGTAACTCAAAAATACAATTTATTTAAAATACATTTATTTAAAGTACACTTACATAAAATAAAATAAAATTTTTCTTTTTAATAGAATTGTAAAGTGCGCAGAATAAACTTTGCACTTATCTAGAACTGTTTCTTTACAGTATTCGTTAAAAACTTTACAGTTTTTTTTTAATGCGTAGCAGTGTGCAATCAGTATTATATATATATTGAAAACTTAATAAACAGATTCTAAAAAATGTATCAAATTTAAAATGATATATCCGATGAAATCAATGATATGTGTTCTAGAGTCGTGGTGGCTCAGGGAATCGAGTGTTCGCCTTCCAATGCGGTGAACAGGGTTCAAATCCCAGCTATTTCTAGTCTGTACGAATTCCACACCCGGCTCACACCGATCACAGTGCAGACGTAAAATATCCTCAGTGGTCGACAGATCATGTGTTATAGCCCCCTTACGATCAGGCTAGCCGTAGGAGGTTTTCTTGGTTTTCCTCTCCATACAACGCTAATGCGTGTTAGCTCCATCAAAAAGTCCTCCAGCCCAATACTCGATCCATGAGTTCCCTTGTCTTTTTTTTTCTTTTCTTCCAGACCTGGACACGTACCTAGGTTCGCAAAACCCTTAACCGTATAGTCCACGTCTGGCCGACAGTCTAGCTCGCACAATACACAGTACATAAGCAAGCAATAACAAAATTCCTAACTACACCACAAATACAAAGCACAACTGCGTTATGCAGATGGCAATAATGTGTATCACATTAGTTAATAAAAAAATAAATGCATAAATAAAAAAATGAAACAACAAATGAAGCGAAAACAATAGTGAGTACACCAGTACATATAGGTGAACAGTAAACAGCAAATGGATATGAAAAACTGCATATGTAGTTTTTGACAAGAAGAAACGTATTTTTTCTTTTTTAAAATTTTCGCTATGTCAAATTCGGAAGAATAATAAAAAAAGAGAAAAGAAAATTTAAAAGTTTTTCAAAAGTCTAAAAAGTTTTTTTTCTATTTTTCCTAAAGTTTTTTTAAGGTTTCATGAAGATCAAAATTTTGTAGGAAAACATTTATAATGTAAATGTATCTAGCTGTCGATGAATTTCATTCTTAGCGAATGTAGTATTTGTTGGTAAGTCGGACAGTATGAGACGAAGGCTGAATGATCAGGGTTGTAGTTGGTACCTTTGTACGTGTTCGAGTGCCAACAGTTAATGCAATAGCACTCATCGCAATTGCATTCATGGGTGTGATGATTTCCGCCGCATTTTGCACAGGTTGCAGAATCAGCCGTGCACTGGTTGGTATGGTGATCCAGGCCTTGACACTACTGGCACCGTCTGAGAACTATGCGTTTCTTGATGATACACTTGTTAAGACCAATGAAGATATTTTTCATTTTCAGAAGATGGGTAGCTTGTCTATGCAATACATTTACTACGATGTGTTTTTTGTCCGTGCATTTTTTGTGTGGAATGGATTTAAGATACTTTATAACGTTGTCGTCGTTCGATGAGTAGCTGTTCGGCTGTAGTATGGTAGCTATATCCTCCCCTTCAAATTGAGCTGGAGCATTTAGAATTATGAGTGATGTAAGTCTTTGAACTTTATCTCGAAAATCAATTTTGTTTTGAATGGATGATGTGAATTTATCCTTATCCTTTTGGTTATGGAATTTGATTTCAATGAGGTTTTTATTTTTGAATACTTTTTTGACCACTGGTTTAACTATTGAGGTATTTATTATTTGTAGGATATTGTCTGAATTCTTATCCTCGTCTGTTCTGATGATTATTGGAGCAGGTGGACGAGGGTTACTGACTACTTCGCTGTACGATGGTTGTTTATCGGTGTTTTTCAGATCCTTAATCTGTATTGTGAGATCTTTAATCTGGTCTTCAATTAATTTTAGTTGGTTGGATTGTTGAGTTTCAAGTCGGTCTGATTGATTGGAGAATCTTTTAATTTCTGCAATAGCCTCTTTGCATTCGTTAAATTCTTTTGTATTGTGTTGACCCCGACCGTTCAGATATCTATCAAGATGTTTCACTAGTATCAGTAAATACCTGTCAACTTCAAAAGAGGAATCAAGTACAGGCCAATCGGGGAAGCCGTTGATTACCGCTTGGACATCTGATGATGAAGCAGGAGGGTTGTGTTCAACTGAGCTATTTTTAATGCTGTTCTTACCATAAAAGGAAGTTGAGAAGATAGAATCAGTGTTTGATAGGGAACTACGACTATGCGATTTGTTCGATAAACTATGCGGTGATGTTTGTGGAGGCTCTCTAGAGACAGGAGGATTTATCCGGGCAGAGCGTCTAATAAGTGAATCAGTGGTTCTTTTTGATGATGAAAAGGGACAAATCATCCAGTTGACAATCCCTTGTCTTTTTTCTTTTTTTTTTCTTTTCTTTTCTTTCTTAATTATAAATAAATAAATAAAATAAACGTTTCTCAAACCTCGCTAGACTTTCATTTTATTTTTTGTTTTCAAATATTTTGTAGCACATGAAAAAAAAATTTTTTGGCTTTAAGTTATAGAGTAATTTACCATCAAAACTCACGCTTCTGTTTCATTCCGAACATCATCAATTTCTTTTCGAGCCAGGCTATAGTACGTATCTTGGTTATACAACTATTTTCCGGTAGCTAACTTGCTTCAGATAATCTGATACTCGTACGGAAATTTTCTGAATTTCCCTAAGATATATTTATATTGTTTTGAATAGTATTGTATGTTAAAAACTATTTTAACAAAATATTAAGTTTAAAAAATATATGTTTACATAATGACAATAATATAGATCAAATTTCTTTCATATGACAGTGAATCCCGGAAAGTAGATCAGGTTGAACATAAAATTTCAGAAGAACGTTTTCTATATCACTTCCATTCATAGTCCTATGAAACAAATTATAACATTAAAACGTAAATTTTCATTCAATTTAAGCCTGTATTTTATAATTTATTTATTTCAAAATTTGAAATTTAAATTAACTAACAGAAAACTTTTAAGCACCAACTATTGAAGTAATATTTTTTTTAATTAAATAAAAATCTTTTTAATTGAAATTTCTATCATTAATCCGAAATATTTATTAAAAGAAATTGTTAGTAGAAAAACGTTTTCTTTTCTTTATTTCCGCTTCCTTTCATAATCGTATGAAACAAATTATTACATCAAAACGTAAAGTTTCATAACAATTGAGCAAGTATTTTATAATTTATTTATTTCAAAATTGCACTATCAATTTTATAACGAACAGGAAACTTTTAAGCTCCAACTAATAAAGTAATATATTTACAAAATAAAATCCTTTTGTAATTTAAATGTCAATCATTAATCCGAAATTTTTTACGTTTCATATGTATAATCACTTTTATATAGATAGATCACATTTTTCTATTCACTCGGGTTTCAAATTTAGATTTTTTTATTCTCTCATTTCTTATTCTCATCAACCAACTTTTGGTCCCATTTACGAAAACTTGAACAGCGTTTACATTTAACACGTTAAAATGGCCCTGTTTATTGTGCAATTAAATTCCACAAATCTAACTCTTATACCAAAATAAAATTTCAGTGCAATGCTTACAGTTTACGAATTTTTAGAATATCTGTATCTGTAAAATAATTAGTTTATTCATTTTACTGTTTTATCCATCTTTCATAGTAGTTAAAATTTTAGGTTGTCAGCTATTGAAGAAACAGGACCACAATCAGCTGTGTCGAAATTAATAATTAAAAGTGCTACAAGATCTGATTCAGCTTTGTATACATGCACAGCTTCAAATGAATTTGGAAATGATCAGACCAATATTCAGCTTGTGGTTCAAGGTAAGTATTACGTTAAAAGCATTAATTCCCCAAATAACAACAAACAATTGTGGAAAACTAAATGTTCAAGAAAATAAATAAAAAAATAATATGGTAAATAATAATTATAATAATGTTAAAAAAAATTAATAAGGAATGCCATGGAGAGTGATTTAAAATTTCGATATTAAAACAGAATTTTTCCAGCTTTCAATACAAATGTGGCATTAACTTTACGATCACTTATTTTCAAGTTATAAAAACTTTTGAAAACATTTGTTATTCTGTATTTAAAATTCATGGCATTAGCTAATATAAAGTTCATTAGGGGCAGATAAAAGATAAGAAAATCTCAATTATCAGGTCCAACTTTCAATTCTTAGGGTTTCCAATTTTGAGCTAATTTCTAACCAATTATTTATTAGTTAGTTTTCCAAATGCAAATGAAGTTCCGTTTTTATTTTCGTTTCCCAGTTTGATGCTATTAAAATTTTGAAAAATTAATTTAATAAATCGAATGTTATTTCACACAGAACCCGAAATAGAAGTTCTCAATAATCATTTATAAATATTTTCTAGGCTTTAACGAAAAAGTAAGTGATGCCAAAGAACATAGCTATAATTGTTAGGAAAAAAATACGAACATTTTCAAAAGATATGACAACATAAAAATTTTTATGCATGGATTTTATTTGTATATGATTTTTATTTGAATGCAAATTTTATTCGTTATTATTTTTCTTACTATGCATGTTATCATGATATGTATTTTATATTACGTAACACATGACAGCATAAGTTCGAAACCAATATGTACCTATATGTTTAAATTATATTTTTCTACTTTTGAATGTGTCAGAATAATCTATAATTTATTATGATAACAAATTAAAACTTAACTAAAACATAGGCACACTTAATTTAAAAATGTATTGCCCCAATATAAGACCTATCTTATTTTACTGTGAAGTGAATTTACGGATCGATAGTTAGTGCCTCTATAATTTTTATAAAAAACATTTATTAAATTAATTGTATTAAAAGTATGATTTATGTTAAATAAAATAGTAAATTTAATAAAAATAAAATTTAAAAAATATAAAAACAATTACTAAACAATTATTAAGATGTAAAAATATAGTTTTATTAAATACCTTTTTAAATGATGTAAATTATTCTACACAATATATATCAAACCACAGTTTAATAGCGCCATCTGTCGATTAGTAAAATAACTACACAATTAGTTAAGATAATTCCCATACATTGGGACAATGCACAATTGTTCCTTGTTCTTTTATTTTTTTTTTTTCATTTATTGTATAATATGTACTTCATCTTAATTATGATAGCTAACTGGAACTGAGCAAGAATGCATGAGAATAAATTATTTACACAAATATGAATAATCTATGTAAATAATTTATACTCATAGTATTTTTCCTTTCATACACTTATTAAAAATATTTAACCTTTTGTTTAGTTGGTAAATTAAAACTGTTCTAAGATATATGTGTTCCTTTTTTTCAAATGAGAACTGAAATATATTTAAGAACAATTTTTGAAATGTTTTGTATTTAATTTTGGTATTGCAATGTTTTTTTAAATTTAGTATATTTTAACATTTAACAATTTTAGTGATTATTTGTTACTATTTATTTATGTAAATTGAATTTTCTTCAATTTTTAATATCATATCTGTAAGTTCAATTTCTGTTTTCTGATATATTTGACTAGATGGCAGCACTATTTTAACAAAAATGTAAAACTTTGGTGAAAGTTATATTAAATAGATTTCAACTATTTTTAAACTATTTTTTTCTTATCAGTTTATAATTCTTTCCAACTGTTGCATAATTTTTTTACACATAGAATGTCCGAACTTTTCTTAGACTTTTTTTTCAAACAATATTGTTTTTAATATTGCAGTCATGGAAATTATTCAGATAGTTTCGAAACTATAACCGTATTATTTTCCTTAAAATCTTATGAAAAATTTCGTCGAAGGTGAATTATTATAATATTGCTGTAATGTATTATATTTAGTATGTTATATTTGTAATTGAATTATAAATGTTTTTATAGATAATCATGAAACAGTTACATAAAAGCAAAATTAGTAAAAAATTTGGAATTTGACTCGTAGAACATAGAAACAGCATAATTTCTACTATTAGAAATATTTCCCCTAAAGATTCTTTCATTTAAACTATAACACTCTCTTTCAAAAATTTCGTTGTTTAAACACTTATATTCAATCAAACAATTCTATTTAAATTTTCATTGTCTTATTTTTCAGTAACTATCAATTAAACCAAATAAACGTAGTTTAATCAGAATTATTTATTGAAAAATTCGTCTGCAAAACATAGGCTGAATTGTTATGTTTAAAAAGAAATAGTACATTAAAATAATGTTATACATGCTTCCTAAGAAAATTTTATGTCTAAAACCCTTGAATAAAACCCTTGATTTAAACCTACGTTTAAACCCTATGCTACGATTAAAATTATTTCAAATACGTATCAATACTTGTCTTTACACTCTATAAATTTGTATGCATATGCAAAAATTTAAAAAAGGAATCAGAATTATCAATTAAAAAAGTATTTATTTTCAAAATCATGAAAACGGTTACTTTTTCTTCTTCTTTCTTCCATTAAAAAAACTGGCAACATATCGTACGATATAATTAATAAATGAATTTAAAATTGTATTTCTTCTGATGACTTATAATCAAATCACAATGATCAATATTGATACTGTCTGTATAAAAAAATATTCTTGTGCCTCTGTGGTTAAAAATCATTTTCCAGAAACCTGATTCCTACGAAGAAGCATCTTTACGATACAATATGAGGGATAAATTTAACTATGTGCTTCGTGATTTTTGCCTTGGACATGTAGAGAATTTATTTAATTTTTTTTTAATGTTCAATTCATATCTACGGAAAAATTTAAAATCTTAGTTCTGACTTAGCTGTGGAGTCGATCAACTGCGAATGCAAACCGTAGGCTTGTGATCTGAACTTAGTAATAAATCTAAGTTTCTTCAAGCAAATATCATTTAAAAAAATGTGTATGTACTTCCTTCTATTTGCGTATTTTTATAGTTATATGAATGTTTAGTAAAAAAGTTATTTTTAAAAAAATAATAATTTGGAATCAAAATATTGCGAACAGTTATACAAAACTCCAGAGCAGGTCGATAATTTTTTGATCATTTCATGCAGTAAGGAAAATAATAAATTTATAACTTTTATATCCGACATGTTTACATCTGATTTCGCAAACATAATATGCATTTTCACAAAAATAGGGAAGATTCTGTTAGAAATAAAGTTTTTCTTTTGCAGCAAATTTGAATTTTTTTTATTTAATTCATTTGTGTATATATATATAAATTAGTATTTTTATCTAACATTGTCTAAAATTTATGTTTTTTGCACAAATGAAAAGAAAACTTCCTAAAATTACCGAGTATTTCATAAAGATTCAGAAAACTAAATAGTAATTAATATGAATATAAAGCTTCATTCTTAAAGACTGAAATTATGCNAAATTTATGTTTTTTGCACAAATAGAAAGAAAACTTCCTAAAATTACCGAGTATTTCATAAAGATTCAGAAAACTAAATAGTAATTAATATGAATATAAAGCTTCATTCTTAAAGACTGAAATTATGCAATTTTTATTTTAGAGCCACCATCTCCTCCTGTTGATTTAAGCATAAAAGAAAAAAGCAGCCGCACAATGACATTAGCTTGGTCACCGACTTTTAGTGGGAACAGCCCGGTAATGAAATATACTGTAGAACACGGAAACGCAACTGCAGGTAAACAATTCCTCTTGGTTGCAGGTAAATACTTTTTTTTTACTAGGAAACTATTTCGTTTTAAATTATTACATTATAATATTTAAATAAAGACGTATATATAACATTTAAGCTTGAAATAACATTTAAGGAAGGGAGATTTGCAGAACAGACGTAACGATTTCAATTAAAATCGAAATTAATTCATAAAAACAATATAAAATTAAATACAAATCCATAAAATTTTCATTAATTTAAGAATTATATTTATTTGTGCCTGTTGAAGAAAATTATCACCTGAGGCAATCCATATGAATCGTTAAAAAATAAATTGAAGATAACATAGGCAGAAATTAAAAAAATAGAAATGTAAAATACAAATTATATTCTATAAAGTTTTTTTTCTGTCCTCTCAAAACTTAAACTAATTTAAACAATTTGCAAGGACTTTCATTTTTTATTAACAGATGTTTCTAAATATAATGTTTTTAACGATTTTTTTTTAGAAATACTTATCGGCTATTTCATGTATATATATTATCATTTCGATTTAGGAAAGAATGAAGGCCACCTCAAGCAAACAGTTGTACCTGGTTCAGAAATTATGGCTATCGTCCGAGGTCTTCTTCCCTCTTCGACCTACAAGTTTCGTGTGATTGCTGAAAATGCTCTCGGTGTCAGCGAACCAAGCGATTTTGTTACTGGCACAACTGAAGAAGAAGGTTATTTATTTTCATTACCATAACATACGTTATTTATATATTAGAAATTAAATTGGATTTGCGAAGATATTTTAATAAAAATTCAGGGTGCTTCGTAATGACCATGACATGATTAATATATATTTTTAGAGTCATTGTCCTTTTGCATGCAAAAAACATAAAAACCAGTTTGATTGCTTTATAAAATTTGGAAATTTAAATAATTATTTTCAATGCCTCCATTTTTTCCACCGGTATTCAAACTTGCTTGATGATTTCAGTTTCGTTTTTTATGGACTCAGTTTGCTCTAATTTCTATAGCATTTTCTTAGCTTAAATTATTATTAGAGATCACTAATGTGTGTGTGCTTTTTTTTACCTCATCTTTAAAGCGAGTTCTAAAAATTAGCATTATAAGCAGTCATTACACAACATCCTGGAAGCATTGGATAAATATATATATAATATGAATACTGTATAATATTCAACAAATTAAAAGTGCTTATAGCAGGGTATTTTTAAATTTGGTGGGATTATCGTAATCAAAATTTGTCCCTATATCAATACTTTAGACCCCATTAAATTTCAATCTATATTTCATGTATCAATAATTTTATGTCTTTGAAAGTAATAAAATAAAACTTGAAATGCATAACATTTCCTTTACAGGAATAAATAAATTATAAGACACATCTTTGTAAATAAAATTTAACTTGCTGAAACGATTTTCTTAAGGGTTTATATGTCGTTCAAGTACTTAACCATTCAGAATTAACTATGAGCGATTTTTTAATTTAATATTGAATAATTAATTTCAAATTTGCTCCCAAAGCGAAAATTACTGTAGAGTAAAGAAACTCATGGAACTGTAGAGTAACTCATAATAATAATAGTTTTAGAACTTGAAGTTAAACTTCTAATTAAATTCCATAGATGGCGCCAAAAAAGTAAACATGGTAAAATAGTTTTTCTCTAAATTATATTTAATTGAGAGAATTTCATTTTATGACTTTTTTATTTACCAGCAATCTCTTAATAATTAGGAATATAGAGTGCATTTTATTCAAATCAATCGATTTTCGGATATACACTCGTATACTCGTAAAAAGAAAAAATTCACAAATAATGTCAAACTGATTTTTTTTATATATTAAGTGCTTATTATTATTTTTATATTATTTTATATTAAGTTATGTTTAGCGTAATAAAATGGGAATTAATGAAACAAACAAACAGAACACAGTACATTACCAATAAAATACAGCATAATTGTTTCATCTAATTCTCATTAGCAGCATATAGTGCAATTATACTTATCATGAATTTAGTATAAAAATTTTTTTCGAGTCCATTATATTTCTAACACTCTTAAAAAGTATGAGAAAAGAACTTTTTTCTTTCTTAAAGGTAATACATAAATATTTTTAAAATAAATTTCATACGATTTTAGAGAGGGAAATAAATAGTTATTGTTATGGTGCTGCCATCTACTTAGTTCTATTTTGAAGACGTTGAAGAAATAAATAAAGTAAAATTTAAAGGAAATATAGAGACTGTCCAACTCTCTTAAAAAAATGTAATTTTCGAACTTAACTTTCAAGTCTGAAAATTAAATCTGAACAAAATAACATTATCAAGTTTAGAATAATTACAGAAACACAAATATTTTTAATAAATTGCGGAAAACAATATTTTTACTACAGTTTAATTCCATCATATTTTTGATAGTTAATCAAACTTTATTTTTTATTTGATTCTAAGAGTAATAAATTAATCTATTGTTTACAAAAAGTACAATAAAATCAAACAAATTAAACAGTTATAAGGCAATAAATAAGAAAATAGGAAGTAAATTTTTTTGTTTATCTTTCATTTTTTCAACTAATTATCTTTATAAGTAATTAAGGAAATTCGTATTATTAGTAAAACACATTTTGAAATTGTTCAGACGAGCATTTTTGGTGAAAAAAAATTTAAAAAAAGAATAAAAGAAATAAAAAAAAACTTATCATGATTTAAGTTAGTTCTTAAAATGTTTTGCGCATTGAGCTGTTACCGAGAGTTGAAAATAAATTAAATGTAAAAAGCACCAGCCTAGATACAATGCTATGAAATAGTTTAACGTAAAAATGCAATCCTTTGAAATAAATGTCGCTAATCCCATCACTGATGTCGTGAAGAATCCAGTAATTACAAGAATGTTTGTGTTGAAGTAATGATGTAAAACATCAAGCTATCATGGAAGCATTGTGGAAATATTTTTCATCAAATCACTTACTTGTGTCGCATCACTATATGGAATGTAGTAGGAATCTAATGAAGAAAAAAAATGAAAACATTGAAGTTAATACTATCGTCTTAGAATGAAATAAAATAGAACAAAATACATTGTATATTTCTTGCCCATAATGAAGTTGCGACAGTAATATCACAATGCATGTGTCCTATCACTTGAAGGAATTTGGACCATTCGTAGCAGAAATTTTTTAAGAGTTAAGGCCAGCTATTTTTTTAAATTGTAATAAAGAAATATCAACCATTATTGTTATATATTCACTGTTGATATTAATTTTCAGCTTTTTTACCTCAAAATTGAGCCACAGTCAAATTTAATATTTACAAACTATGCATTTTCACCTGATTAATCAAAGACCATACATTCAGATGAATGTATGAGTTATTTCTTAAAATATTAGAAGATATTGAAAAATTACTATTTAAACATGAAAATTTGAGTTACATTATTATTTTAAAAAAATACGGGACATCCTTAACATTTTAGCAATAATGTTTTAAAATTTTTTCATTTTATATTAATTTTATTTTCTGTTTTAGTTCCTGGTGGTCCTCCTTTAGAAGTCAACGTTCAACCGACAGGATCACAGTCTTTGAAAGTAACATGGAAAGTAAGGATATAATGCTATATGTATGTTACCGTTAAAGTGTTAGATATGTTAAAGTTAAAGTGTTATATATATGTTAAATTTAAGGTGTTATATATATAAATTACCGTTGAAGTGTTATATATATATGTTACCTTTATTCAATTATTTAATGGAATAACTAGGTACTAAATAATTAGACAAGCCAGTTAAAGTATATAATACATGAAAAATTTCATACTTTGCTTAACTATTCTGTGAAATAACTAATGACAGATGGTTAAAGTGAAGCATAAACTAGTTCAAAGTTATTTTATAAATTAATTGATCGCATATTAATTGATAATCAATAGCTATAATCTCTCGAAAAATACATTTTAGCCCTATTGCGAATCGTTAATTGATAAATAATAAGGAAAAGCAGATAATATAATTTATTATTGCTCTTATTAATAACTGCGTCTAAAAGCAACGGAATGAAGCTTATACTCATGCGACATTGCAACGTCGCTATGAACAGTTCATAACTGACTAAAAGCTGCTAGAACCGATGCAAAAAACTTTCGAGTGCCGTATTTCATACTTTAAATATCAAGTAATCGTTATTCTACAGAATACCTAGTTAAATCGCAGAATTCAATTATCTTATATACTTTGACTTGCTTAGTTATTTCATGAAATACTTAGTTATTCTATGAAAAACGGATTTCACACTTTAACGTCAACATATATAATGTAATAGAATTTTTTTTAAAAGAAAATAAAGATAAAAGAACAATATTACGTTTGGGAAGCATTTTTTATTAAAAGTTTCTTATTTCTCCAACACTTTGTAGGAATCAAAACTATGAATCATTTTGTTTATCATTATATTTTTTTAAAAAGAAAAATTTCCTCTGAAATCGAATTTCAGGAAAAAAATTTAAATGCTCGCATACTTTGTCAAAAACATTACCATACAATCGTTACTATACAATAATTATATCAAATATCTGTAAGCTTTCAATTAATTAAAGGGTGATTCTCACGAAACACGACAATTCACTGTCCATTGCTCCAAAATCTAATACTATAATACTAAAAGAACTTTTTTTAAAAAAAATAATAAATAGCATTGCTGTTAGTATTTTAAAATGACTTTGCACTAGCATTGATTGTTTTGTATTCTTAAAAAATTTAATTGAATATCGAAATGTCATTTTCCAGGCATGTCCCAAACAATATTTTCAATAATAACTACCTTCAAAACTTCCCATATATTTTTCAAAATCTAATTTTTTTATCTTATCCTATGTAAGCATTTCTAGAATATACGCAGAGGGTATTGTTTACTAAAACTTCGTGTAAAATAATTTCTTCTGTCAATAATTTTTTTGTCCCATGAAAATCTGTCATTTTCCTGGCTACTTTTATTTAGTGATTTATAACCAAAATAGATAGAGCCATCAATCAATATCTTATGTTAATAGATTAATTAGATACCCTCTTATCTGAACGTATCTTTTTGCATGAATAAAGAACTAATTTTCTGGCACAAAATCTATTTCAAAAAATTTTCTAGGTGAGTAGGTTTTTATGCTGTCATTTTCCTAGATTCTTGAAATCATTAATAACAAAAACTACATAGATTTATCTGAGTTATTTTAAGAAATACTGTTGTTTTCTGCAGAATATGAACGTCTTCGGCCAAAATATTAAATTAAAGTTATATGCTATAAAACGGCAAATTTGTCATTATCCTGGCTGTCATTTTCCTGGCTTATATATGCCAGGACATTGAAGTGTTACCAGAAATTCTTTTTAACTGCTAATACTGTAAAGAGGGAAAGCAAATATAGACCTAATACCAAGTTTATGTATGATTGTAATATGCTTGAATGTAATCAAAGTTATTTATTTATTTAATGATTGACTATTATACACAATTTTATTCTGTACGTATCAGCAACAAAAAATTTTTTGATTCTTTCTACAGTGGATAAAAAGAATTAATTTAAGCAATTTATGGTCCATCTAACATAAAGGCGTAAATTGAGTTACTTACTATTAACTTAGAATGACTGTTTTTCTAACTTCTATGGTAATATGTCATTTTAATAGCATTCAAGATTTGGTGAATTTCTATTTTATTTTTTTTCTCGAGCAAAAGTCAATAAACTACACTGCTGTCTATAAGATATTAATAAGTGTAGCTAAAGAAGTATACAAAAAAAAGTAGATTATTTTGAAGACTTTAAATTTGAAGAAATTTTTTGGACCGAAATGTCATGTTTCGTGAGAATCACCCTAAAGCAGTTAATGAAACACTACATATCTCACTAGATAGAAACAGTCATCACCATACAATAATTTTCATTGCTCAAAATAACCATAAGCGCACAATTTATAAGAGCAGTTATGAAAATACATACTGTACACTGATTATTGACGATTGACTACAGAAAGGCTCCAGTGTGTTAGCAGACAGTGCGTCTCCTGATGAAGTGTTGTTTTTGCTATATATCTTTAAAATTTCGTTTTGCTTGTTTTTAGTTAACTTTTTTTTAAAATTATTTACAAAAGACAAATTTGGTTGTAGCTGCTTTTAGCACTTAACCATTTTGACTTATTATTTTAAATTTTTCATCTGAAAATTGGTATAAATCAATTTCATATTTTGATTGAACACTTACTGCACATCACTCCAAATAACAATGATCGTCGTCATACAATTTTCATGTATCTATATGAACATATGGAAGAATTTACCCCGACCCGCCCTTATTTAGGGCATACGGGTAAATGTTTATTAAAACAAAAAAAATCCAGAAAACATTACAAACATAAAATACATAAAATACACATCAGACATGGCAACAGCTCATGAACATGGCGGGCGTAGAGCTGCTAAAATCATGTAAGGTGATAAACATTAAAACATCAATATATTAAAAGTGTCAATTAAAAGAATAATTTAAAAGAACAAATTAAAAGATAAACATGCAAAATTTACAAAGGAACAATATTGTAAAACATTTAAAAACAGTACTTTTAAAACCAATTAAATAGTACGAAAGTAAATAACAATAAAAATGGAGAAAGTGAAAGAAGAAGAGTTTATGAAAGACATAGTAAAAAAAAATGAACATATATCTATATCTATATGAACATATCTATATGAACATATATCTATATGAACATATATATGAACATATATATGTATGAAATTAATTTAACTCTTTGGTTTACTCTCCTTTCAAATCTTAAAAATTAACTTTGTTCAAAAACATTGTAACTGTTTAAATATATTTGAAGAGTTTTTTAAAGCTTATAATTCTTGTGTTTCAGTCACCACGTAAGGCCTTACAACATGGAAAAATACATGGTTATTACATAGGTTATAAGGTGGCAGACACAGATGATCAATATCAATACAAAAATGTTGAAGCTACGAATGGTCAAGAACTCAGTTATTTAACTAATCTCCGCAGACTTACTAAGTATAAAATAATTGTTCAAGCTTACAATAATATTGGCGCAGGACCTCGATCTGATGAACTCTCTGCGACTACACTAGAAGCAGGTAAAATATTGATGGTATTTTTCTCTTTCTTTCGCTTTTCATAAAGTTCTTTTTCAGATTTGATAAATCTGTTAACTCCTGATGAGCAGAAAGATAAAGAAATGAAATAAATATTTATTCATATTTTATTTTAACCGGCTCCTAATATTTTTTTTCTTTCGAGCTGTAGTATCCGTTAACCATTTATTGGGTAGTTCGTTCGATTTAAGTTTACAGATTTATGGAACGAAATTGGTTTCTAGTGGTAAATTCAGTGAGATTATTAATTCGAGCCAATTTTAAACTTTATGACCATTTTCTTTCGTTGAGATAGTTAAAATTTTCACAATTTTACCTACTGTAAATCTTTAGCTATAAACTTCCATTACTGTGCTTATAAATAATCAAATTTCTAGGTTCTATGTTTATAACAGCAAATTCATTCAAGAAGAAATGATCAAGTTAACAAATACATAAAACGCACAAAAGAGAAAAGCTTCATTGCTTTTCTTGACTCCAAGCAAACATTTTCTCGTAAACAAAACTCTTCATTGGTATTTTTTTCTCCAAAACTAACTGCAGATGGCTGCACGAATAATAGATGAAAACTCAAGCTATCAATCTACATTTTAAAATTATTGTAATTTGTGAGAAGTATACCTTCCATTGCTTTATAAAGGGTTAGTCCAGCTGACTGTCTAATATATGTTACATATAATATATTATCAGTCATGCAAGATCTCTACAATGTTCTTAAAATGGTTTTTAATGTTTTTTTAATTTATTTCGTCGTCATCGAAACGGAATCATTCAAAATCTTAGTAAATGAATTTTACGTCATCTTGAATCATAGCAAACGTTGATAATTGCTATGAAACAATGATAAAACAATCTCTGGCAGACGTTACAAAATCTTACTAACGTTAGTAGAAAGTTGTAAACAATATCCCTGCAAATGCTATCTCAGACATTGACCATCAAACCTTTGAAATTCTACAGCTAGTCTTAATAGAACAACACTATATACTCCCAATAATCTGAAGGTGGCACCCAATGACTGCTATCTTTTCCCTAACCCTTGGTCAGAAAGAGAATCAAGTCTTTTCCGAGATGAAAAATGAGGTTTAACACTTTCGCAAGGACATGGTAGGTAACTGTTATGACATAGACACAAAACCTGCCCCTGCCAGTAAAAAAATGCGTAATTTGATCTAGCCTTTGCATAAAAATTTATACAAATGCTCAACTTTTGAAATATTTTAAATATTACCTAAAATAAACTTGTTTTGATACATTTATTTTGAATAGGAGACTTTTTCCTTTTGTGACTTCACTCGCATTAAAGTATCCCAATTATAACTAAAAGTTAATTTGCAATATTTTATTGATTTAGCACTGTCACGTGATGAGTTATGATTATGTATTTGCATGAATCGTGCTATTATTATAAATAATTAATACGTTTTTTTTCCAATTATTTATAGTCAGTACATTCCGATAGAAAAGCGAGTTACGCGGATTTTTATTCTCATAATTTGTTCAGCACGTAATTGAATGCTATTTTAGAAATGAATCATTATTTCTTGCAAAGTATTTTGTCTTACTAATGTATTTTTTTTAGCTCCTCCAACATCTCCACTGCTTACTCTGCATTCTGTGACGTCATCATCACTCACAGTTGTATGGGACAGGCAACTAGATGATACTGGCATAAGAGGTAGAATTATTTAGAGTGAATTGAATAATTACTCAAATATTCTGCTTGCAAATTGAAAAGTATTCAAGAGAGAAAAAAAAACTTAAAATATATTATATAACATACCCCTACATTAAACACTCTATAACAAAAAAATCGACGCACCAAGAACGACGCGCAAAATCGACGCTCGATCAGGCTCGAATGATGCCGACTGTGGACGTATAGTCTTTAGCGACGAATCCCGCTTCCAACTGCGTCCTGACGATCATCGAAGACGTGTTTTGAGACGAACAGGGCAGAGGGGAGATCCTGCCTTCACTATTGCACGTCACACCGGCCCTCAACAAGGGATTATGGTCTGGGGGGCCATTTCCTTTGACAGCCGGACCCCTTTGGTCGTCATTAGAGGTACACTTACTACACAGCGGTACGTCGACGACATCCTAAGACCTGTTTTGCTACCGTTCCTTTTGCAGTGCCCTTGGCTGGTTTTTCAGCAGGACAATCTCAGACCACATACGGCACGTGTTGCTATGAACAGTCTGCAAGCCTGACAAACTCTTCGTTGGCCTGCCAGATCACCAGAACTCTCTCCCATCGAGCATGTCTAGGATATGATGGGAAGGCGATTGCATCTGGCACGGTATGTTGATGACCTCGTTCGACAATTGGATCGAATTTGGCAGGAAATACCGCAAGAGAGCATCCGGGAACTTTATCGGTCTATGCCACGCAGTTTGGCAGCTTGTATCCAGGCTAGAGGCGTGTCAACACTTTATTGAACTTGTTACTGTAACTTTGCAATAAATTATTCAATTGTTCTGAAATTTTAATCATTTACTATTCTGCACATTGTCTTCCTATCCACCAATTTTCGTTTCAATCGGACAACTCCTTCTTGGTGCGTCGATTTTTTTGTTATAGAGTGTAGATAACAGTAAGCAAATGAAACACAGATTCTAAAATTTTTTCTGTTAAAAAATTAAGTAATTACNGTGTTATTATATATATATATATATATATATATTACATGATAAGAAAAATTCATATTTGCTTACTCAGAGCACAATAAAGGAGGTCAAGTTTTTTTTATTTTTTATTTTTAAAGTTTCGGAATAATTACTGCAAATAATTTATTGTAATCAGAATAAAAAGGCATAAAATATTTTGAAACCGGTTAAAATGTTCCGTTTGCGGTTTTTACTTATAAGTAGTAAACAAATGATGGAAAAAAAGCATATTTTTTTAATTTTTTCTACTGAAGTTGGTGAAAACTTTTGAAATTAACACGCTTAGTGTTTATGCTTTTTTGACAGTTGGCATAACTTAATTAAATTAAATACACATCAATAATTTAACTTTTTATGCTTTGTTATTTAAAAAAAGAATTGTATCAATTTTTTTGTAATTTTCACTGTGTTCTTTACTGTGTGTGTTACTTCGCTTGTTTTCCTAGAGAAGATTTACCTAGAATTAGCCACGTGGAGGTGGCTACACGTCAATTTTCACCCGCAATTTACCCAAACAACTATCTAGTTTTTTTTCCGTGTGATATTTATAACTATTTGCAAAGATTTTCTATAGAAGAGGAGGTTTCTTTAATGCTTGCACAAAAAAATTTATTTTTCTCTTTCCTGTTGAATTCATTCAATTATAAGGTATTCATTCACAGAGTAAAACAAACTCCATTCAATTACGAAGCACTAGTGTTCCTAAGTTTAAGTGTTTACAGTCCAGTCACATTGGTCTGAAAGCGTTGACCACCACAAGTTTTCGGTGTAAGCTTGAAATTACCAAAAGGATCACAGAAAGCAAGTGGCAAGCACACTACAGTCAAGCGTATATAAAGGGTTTTGAAGGAATCGGAAAAATTTTAATCGTTGGCGTAATACAAAAATGGAGGGATTTATGTAGACTTTTCCGAAAGGAAGTAAGGGTGGAAGATTTTCCGAAGCGTAACGTTGTAAACTGTTCACGTGCTTCGTTGGTAAAAGTATATCGTGTATTACGAAATTGCATAGTTCAAAACCAGTGACGGGGCAAATGTGGTGCACCGTGGGCATAGATGAATTAGTTGAATGACCGCTGCGAAATAAAGCATTTGACCACTCAGGTGAGTCAAGGGGCTACCAACAGTATCTCCTCAATGAGGGTTCAACGAACGTTGCTTTGTGTGGGCCTCAACAGCAGACGCCTAGTTAATGGACTTATGTCGACGAAGGCTAGAAATTGCACCCTTCATCAGCCGAAATCAGCCGAAAGTATCTAAGTTGAAGGAAGGAGCCCTTATGTTACGGGGTATGTTTACGTCCATTCTCTGGGAGCACTCCCCATTGTAGGAGGCACGATGAATCAACACACGTAGGCATCTGCCTTATAGAACCATATCCCCTACACGTTGTTGTTTATTTTTCTGCAGGATGATGGCATCCACATTGGCATTTTGCAGACATTTTGCAGAGTCATACATATCCCAGTGTACGTGTTTGCTTCAAAAAAAGTCATCATACTTCTCAGACTTAAACACGGTAGAAAATCTTGGGGACCACTTCGATCGGTATGTTCACGCCATAGATCATCAACCACGTGATCTAGCGCAGCAGGCCAAGACACTGGTCTCAGCATGACTGAACATTCTAGTGAACACCTTCAAGACACTAATTAACTTTCTTCCTAAACATCTCGCAGAGGTTGTTATTCTAGTTTTTGTAACATTTGTGTATCTTTGACTGTGTAGCTTCTAGCGTATAAATTAAAACTTGATCTGAGTTAGTTATAATTAGGAACAATTGTTGTTCAGCATAATCTCACAATGTTTTCGTTATTATTTTAGAGTACATACTGCACTATAAAACAGAAGGAGGAGGAGATAAATGGAAAGAACAGAAACTGAGCACAGGTGGAAACCAATACACTTTAGAAGATCTCCGATGTGGCACAGGTTATAGGCTTTACATGACAGCAACTAATAGTCTCGGTAAAGGAGAGCCAGGTGATGTAATAACGGCAAGAACTAAAGGAGCAGGTACGTGTTTATGAGGATTTAGATGAAAAACTTCAGTTTTGACCAAATTATTATAGAGTATACAGAATACTATTTTTTAATTATCTGGAAAAATTAACCAATATCAGACCAAACCATAACAATTTCGAATGGACAGCAAACTGAAGTATGTTAAGAATTTAAAAAAAAAATTAAAGGTTTATCTATAGTTCGTTCACTAGGAGTTGGAACTTGACTCCGCCTTCATCACGTGCTATCCGACGATACTATTTCGCTATTTTTGGGAGAAGGATGTGAACAATCGTGAACACGGTTGCTATTTGGCTATCGTGTGACAGAAATGTTTATTTCGCACTAAGTATGTGCATTTTTAACATTAAATATTTCATAAATTTGGGAATAATAAGTGCCATTTTTATGATATTTCTCTCTTTTGAATGAATAGTTTGCTCTTTTTGAGACATTTTGCTGGAAAAACAGCAGTTTTTAAATTTTTAATATATTTAATTGAGCTACGAAACACATAACGGCAGATGATAAAGCGAAGTAAGTGAATTTAAAAGAATTCACCATGTGTTTAGCTCGCAATAAGGGTTCTCTCAGTTTCAAGCACGGAGATGTACCCCTCTTAAACCCACGCTAAAATGATTTCCAAGTCCAATGAGGTGGAACTAAATACCAACTCCTGGGGAACGAACTATAGTTTAGATTGCCAGAAGTTTAATATTTAAAATAAAATTTCGATTATTATTAAATTCGATTAGATTTCAATGCACAATTCTTTCAGGATAATAATGTTTGAAAGATAATGGCCATAATAAGAAAAATTCGAATTTTTTAAATGTTTATTTTCAACATCATTTCTACCTAAATCTTTCTAGTTTTCTGCTTTGCGTAAAATATTATGCCGATTAAGTAGATGCAAAATGTTCATAAAAAATATATAAATATTTCTATTTACTCATCTTTCCAATTTACTGATCTAGAACTGATATATACTCATACCAGAACCAAACTTTATTACCCTGAAATTCATTGCTTCTTTTTTTGAACTATTGTACTACAATCAACTTTCAAAATTTATCTGCAAAGTTGAAATACAATCAATATAAATTAGGAGATATTTAAAGAAAAAGCATAAAAATCAACATAAAAACGAATTTTGCAATATTTTCTTTAAATTTTATGTCTTTCAGATTTTTTATTATTTTGATAACTTTTATTGAATATTTAATATCTCTGTTAAAAACTTATAATAACAATTATTACATTTTATAAATTACTTTTTTTTAAATAAAGACAGTTGTTAAACATGTATATTATTTCATTTTTTCAGCTCCTGTATCACCTCAAAAAGACAATTTTATACGCGTCAACTCTACATTTGTGACTCTTCACTTTGGAGCATGGTCAAGTGGTGGTTGTCCTATTCTCTATTATTCTATTCATCTACGTGTTCAGGGTCAGTGGAAGTTAGTAGAAGATAAAGTTGATGCCGCACAACCAAACTTAGATGTTAGAGGTTTAACACCATCCAGAGAGTACACGATACGTGTATCAGCACACAGTGATGCTGGTACCACTGAAGCTGAATACAGATTTATGACGTTGAATATTACGACACCAGGTAACCGACCTAACAATTCAAAACATCCATTAATTTTGACAAGTTGTGTTTTTTAATTACAGTCAATTTAATGAGGTGTTAGGTATCAAATTAGTGAGATGATTTGAGAAAAGGGAACAATAAAAGTATTTTATTTTTTGGGCATTCGCAGTAGGGTGAATAATTTTGAACCTTCAGAAATAACTGACTCCCTTTAATTTTTTTGAAGTTTTGGCTGTCAAAAAATATATAATACTTCTGAATGGATTCTTCCTTCAAACTCCGATGATAACTTTTCGTTTATTTTTGTTTACAAATGTCAAATTGAAAATGTAAAATTATTTAAATTACAATGAAGTTTTGCCTCTGCTTGCTCCGATCACCAACTCATGTAATTACGTTTTAGTCAGCATTTTTTTTCGTAAACGTTAATATTTTTGACAAAAACACAGATAATTTTGTTTCAATTCGAATATTGTTTGTTTTATTTCATCCTACTTCCTGTGCCTTTTCTACATAGTTCTTCCTGTGCCTTTCTTTGTATTTGCAAGTTTCTAAGTCTCATAGATTTTGCAAAGCAAAAAAAAAGTTAAATTGAAATATGAAACAGTGATGTCTAAGTTGGTCCATACGATTTTTCAATATGAAGATCTCTTTAAGCCCAAACAAAATCGAATGAGTACATGAGTCTTAAAGTACAGAGAAAAGCATATTTTCTGTAATTATTTTTTCTATAGCGAAAGAAATATTTTATGAAAAAAATCAAACATATGAAAAAAACATTGTAGAGTTGTTTTCAAACTTTTCGTCAAAATAATATAATAATTGTAATATATTATATTTTTATATTTGTAGACATAAAGAGTTAGAGTATTTGTATAGAATAAAGAGTCACATATATATATATATATATANTGTAAATAGTTATACTTGGTGGCTAAAAAGATAGAGCTCTCGGCTCCCAATACGTGACTCGGATTCGATTCGAATCCCATCGGTAGCTGGTAGATACGAATTGCGCCTCCAGCTCGCACAGACCACAGTGATCATGCCTCATCCTCAGTCCTATATATATATATATACATATAGGATTTCAGAAATCGTATCTACCGACTTTAGAGAAAAGTAATTGGGGAAAATCACATTTTTATATCCTTGGAAAGTGTTTTCGAAAGCTCGATCTTTTAAAGTTTCATTAGGTTTGACTACTGATTTAATTAGAAATAACGCTGCAATAAAATAAAATAAAAATTTTTTTTTTTATTTTATATGTTTTTTTAATGTTATATATTTTAGTTTTAATTATATTTGAAATACGGAATGAAATTTTGAAACAAATAACGCCCATTAATGCAATAATATTTCTTATCAATATTATCATTGTGTAAACACGGATAGTTTTGCTCGGTTACATTTTTTTTTAATTATTAGGTCTACCGGAAAGTTCTGTCTGCGAAAGTGCACATCTCATTTTGCAGTGTAACAATAGGCTCTCTTACAACAAAAAAAAAGTGTTAGGGTATTTGCCCCTTAACTCAATGATAATGCTCTAAATTAATGAGACAGCATATAAGGTGTTAAAAAGCATGTTCATACATATTCAAATTTGCAATGAAAGTATCTGTCTGAACTAAGGGGTGCATCTAATATACATTTTCAGGTTCAAATGTCCAACCACTAAAACGTTAATAAGTGTAAAAGTATAATAATAATAAAAACTATACTAACTGTAACTATAATAGTAATAAAAATAATTAAATGTACTATAATAATAAAACTGAAATTTTAATTATAAAATTAAAACATTAATAATTTAAAAAATAAGACACTTATTACTAGTGGACTTCACCTCCTCATAGTCCCACTCATCATCATCCGTAATTTTCTTTCAGTCATCATTCTTTTTTTTTTAAAGTCAATATTTTTCAGAAAATAAATTGTTTATAAAATTCATATAAATATTATGAGTTAATATATTAATCACGACAAAAGGAATAATTAATTAAAAATAATCTGTGGTACCAAATAAAGTTTAAATTTACAAATACAGAACACATGACACATTATTTTAAAAAACAAACAATGAAGAGTAATTTTACTTGTTAAGTATTACCTAATGTCTTTATACAAACTCAAATTCGAAAGTTTTAATTTTTCCTTAATTCTTTAAGGTATGATGCATAATGTTTTCTGATTACTTCGCTGCGTAACATGATTTAGCTATACTGAGCTTTTTACATTTTTTTCAGATCCTGTCTTCAAGGGTTATCCGCCATTATACTCTCAAGACAGTTTACCAATGCCATTTTATAAAAACTTAACTGTTTTGTTGCCTGTTGTTATATCTGTTGTTGTACTCCTAATTGTTGTTATAACTGTTATTGTGTGCCTGAGGAAACAAGTGGATACAGGAAGCATAAGCGAAGGTAACATCATTTTGTAAATTTCATCTTTTTATAAATTTCAGTATATATTTACATAACTAAACGGAAATTTCGTTTACATTCTAAGTATATATATATGTAGTTGAAATGGTGATATTTGCACTTTAATTTTTGTAAATTCAAAATTAAAAAAAACTAGGATACAAATATCTACTTACATTTGCTGTAAAATACATTAGTTTTGCTTTATTTACCATTTCTAAAAACTATAATTAATAAAGCTTTTGTAATTTTCAATTAAGTTTTAAAAAGAAGATTAATACAAAACATAAAAATTTCTAATAAATTCCGAACATATTTTATCTGAGTTCTACTTAGATAGATTTTCATTCCATTATTCGTAAAATCTGTTTCCGTCTTATTACTATTTACTCTTGCTTATTTCGTACTGTTATATGATAAATTCTACTCTAATACGAGAAAAAAAAATTATAACTAACTCATTTTCCTATTTTTTCTTCAATTAGTTAAAAAAAGATCCTTGTTGAATGTCATAATGTCTTGTTCAGTGAAATAAATTTAAGAACAAGGAATGTAGTTAAAAATTAAAATATTTAAAATAAATCCTAATTAACTTCCCTAAATGTACCTTTGTCTTTATTAATGTTCGACATCTTTGAACAATTTACTTCTGAACATTATATAGAATTAAAATAAAACAAATAACCAAACGATTAAAGTGAACTTCATAAATTTAATTGAAAATAATAAACAAGGGCGACAAACTCATAAATTTAAGAGTAGTTAAGCTTTCTGCTGTTGTCGAAACCTTTACGGTGACCGTTGCCATTTTGCCGCACAATGAAAAAAAAAGATGTTGCATATTTATATATACTCACATTAGAGTGAAAACCTTTTAATTGTGTATTGTTCTGTGATGTGTGTTCTAAAAATAACGCTTTTAGAAATCGTTGTTGCCCCAATATCTACATATTTCCTCTGCATTTTTTTTATGTTTGAGTTCCGATAATACTGCAGAACTGTTTTCATTTAAATATTTTAATTGTAAAAGTTAGAATTTCAAATGCAGACGACTAGGCTTTGATATTTAATATTGTTTGCTTGATAATTAATTAGTATGTTATTAAGAAAAAGCACTGGTATTAAACTCAGAAGACCGATGTCTACAACTAATCGAGATGATAATATTAATTACTTGCATAAAAGAACTAGATATGAATAAAATTACCTTATTTGTATCGAGATTTAAATGGAAATGACAAAATTAATACCTTACCGAGTAAAGCACTGATGTTAAATTCGGAATAATCTAACCATGATCTAACTATTCTAGTAGCTTAAATTGTTTATTTATAATACAAAATTTGTTTTCAATAAAATTTGCTTATCTACGCTGAAATTACAAAAAATGAAAAATCGTCATCTGAGTAGATTACAGATTTTACATTTGGAAAACACCTCACAAAGTCGAGTCACTAAAATTAATTCCTTGTATAATATTTCATGTAAAGAATTTTTTTTAAAGAGTACAAGTTTATTTGATTTAAAGAAGAAAAACAGAATGATTTTTCAAATGTAGTGTACAAATAATAGTATTTAATGCTTATTAAAGGTATACTCTTTTGCATTTCGATATGCTTGATAAGTTTTATGCTATTATATTAAGTAAATTTTGTTTATAGCTGAGCTTTGGCTCATTCTTTCTCATTGGGTTCTTGCAAAAAGTTTAGGACACCTATGAGATGGCGACATCTACTGGCACTAAGTGACACCAAGTAAAATCCACAAATCCATGTCACCATTCAAAATTTTGTGCATAACAATTCATAATCAAAATAACTTTATTTCACACGAATTAATCAAATTATTAAAGTCAAAACATAGAGAAGAATCTAATATCATTGTAATTCCATGAAGTTATAAAATTAAATTTTCTACAGAACATAACTATCCGTTTCAATTTATTTTATGATGAAAACGTTACTTAAAAACAAATAATGAAAACTAATATAATTTATTTTAATTTATGCTTGTTTATGATGAGAAATTATTTAATAATATGTATTAATTGAAGTCTCAAAGTCTTAATGATATATATATATATATATATAG